TAAGTTCCCTTGGTGATTCATAGGTACACTGAAGTTTGGGAAGCACTGCTTTAAAGTACTTTACAATTCCTTTGCTGTTTGTTTTTCCTGTTGCTATGTACAATTATAGACTATAGATAACAATTCTGAAAAAAGGGGACTTTGGTCTATCTTTTTTTCCAAAAAGTACAATGAATGTATTTTTTACTAAGAAATAACTGATGTAACATTACATTAGTTTCAGGTGTACAACATGTTGAGTCAATATTTGTATATATTGTGAAATGATCACCACAAAGTCTAGCTAATATTCATCATCATACATAATTACAAAAATTTTTTTCTTGTGATGAAAACTTTTATGATCTATTCTCTTAACAGCTTTAAAATATATAATACAGCATTATTAACCGTAGTCACCATACTGTACATTAATGATATCCCCATGAAGTATTTTGGAAATTTGTACCTTTTGACCACATTCACCCATTTTTCCCATCCCTTGCTTCCACATCTGTCAAGCTCCAATCTGCTCTCTAAACCTGTGGGCTCAGTTTTGTTCTGTTTTAGGTTCCACATATAAGTAATGATATACTTATATATCTTTTATATCACTTATATACAAATGACAGTATTTGTTTTTTTCTAGTGACCTATTTTACTTATTTTAGTCTATCTTTTGAAAGTCAGTGACAATCTGAGTAAATGTGATATAACTGGTTTCAGCGAGGGTCCTGTACTAGAATACCTTAAGCGATTTCTAACGAGATAACCATCAGCAAAGTCAGCTGGAATGCTATGAGTTTAAATCTTTTGAATGTCAGAGATCATTGAAGAGGGTGTGTTTTGCACCACTAGCTTTCTCTTTAACCAAGAGACATAAAATACCTCGACTATAAATTATTAATTCGGTACAGCCCTTAGTGCAGTCAAAATGTTGTCTTTTTAATGCAGGAAGTTCTCACTTTGCACAGTAGTGGAGGATTGTGGAAATGGCCATGGAAGCTGAAACAATGGAACAGTCTTAATAATCAATAAGGAAAAACCATAGTAGAACTGCCTGGAAGTCTTTAAAACTTTTTTTCAAAACATTAAATACTGTTACGGTTGGTTATAAGTGTATAGGGAAATGGAAAAGTAGTAAAAGTAATATTTATTCAGTTCACTGTCTTTGTAAACAGTAGGAACGTCAAGAATTAAAGTGGTATTTTTTTGTAAAAATAATTTATCATGATTACTTTGAACATTACTTGCCTTTTCACCATATAAATTATAGTTCATAGTGAGCGTTTTTTCTTTGCCTTGGTGAATTGACTTTTTAAGCTTGAATCAGCTTCCAAACCTTTATCCTTTGTGCTTTGAATGTCATGAAACATCTCTGAGAGTTCCTTTAATGTGAAGTTTATTGCCAGAATCATTTCCTCTAGGATATCTTCATCTTTTTCATTACAACCACTTTCCTCATTTATGTCAACAAGTTTACCACTAAGTTTCTCTGGCAGCGTATCTACAGTGCCTTGAGTAGTGGCAGGTAATATCCCCACAATCAACTATTTCTTCTTTTTTGAAAAAAAAAAGTTTATTTATTTATTTTGAGAGAAAAAGGGAGAGAGAGAGAGAGAGAGCAAGAGCATGGGAGGGGCAGAGAGTGAGAGAGAGACTCCCAAGTTGGCTCCACAATGCCAGTGCAGGAGCCGGACATGGGGCTCAAATTCACAAACCCGTGAAATCATGACCTGAGCCAAAATCAAGAATTGGATGCTTAACAAACTGAGCCACCCAGGTGCCTCTATTTCTTCTACAATTCCAGTTATGTTTGATTCAAGTCCTCCAAGCTTGTTTGCATAGTGTTTAAAGTTCCTGCTGTTGTGCACAGGTACTACTTGCTGTTACTTCCTGCCCTGATGCTTAAATATTTTCATTTGTTTGCCCTATGTCATATTGCTTCCAAAACTCAGCTAAAGAATTTGCATGATCTCCAGCTGTAGCACTTATGACTTATTCCAAAGTCTATGTAAGATAATAGGCTTTCAAAGTTGAAATAACTCCTTAGTCCATTGGCTGGATTACTGAATTTGTTCTTGGTGATCAAAAGCAAGTTTTCATATTTTCATTTAACTCACCAAGAGAATTAGGGAGACCAAGAGATTTTTCAATTATTTTTCAATAATGCTATAAATATTGAGTTATTGTGGGGCACCTGGGTGGCTCAGTCAGTTAAGCGTCCGACTTCAGCTCAGGTCATGAACCCACAAACCGTGGGTTCAAACCCCGCATTGGGCTCTGTGCCGACAGCTAGCTCAGAGCCTGGAGCCTGTCTTCAGATTCTGTGTTTCCCTCTCTCTCTGACCCTTCCCTGCTCATGCTGTCTCTATCTCTCTCTCAGAAATAAATAAAACATTAAAAACATTCTATTAAAAAAAAGAAGAAAAAAATATTGAGTTATTGTACCTATAGTATCTCTCTACTGCTGATTGACAAGAAGGCAACACAACTACATGATGTACTGTTTGTGTGTGAAATGAATGACACACACAAATCACTGATAGACTTTGAAGTAATGTGACTAGTCACTGACCATGATGCCTATCTGTTATCTACAGTGTGATTTGTGGACCCAAGAGTTAAGAGCGAAGTTTATGTTATGCATTTTCTCACAGTTAGTATACTGAAGTTTGAGCTGTGCTGGTGGGGGTATAATGTTATTTAATGAAATGTTGATGATTGAAATGTGGTTATATCAGAACTGCACAAAAGGCTGCCTTACTGTGACTCAAGATTAACTTCAAAACATGTTTTCATAAAAGGAAAGAAAAACAAAAAACCTTTATTATATTTTTAACTGTTAAAGTCTTTGACTTCTTCTCAGAACATACATCTGAAATTTTTATTTTTGAAAGCCTCTGGTACTTTTATGACCACTTGCTGAGTATATAACCCGAAATCATCCAGGGATGGTTTATTCAATTCTACCAACTATATTAAGTACATTATATGTGTAAGGCACTGTGTTAGATTTTTTTTAAAGAAATAAATCGTTACAGGGTTTCCCACATACATCTATTTCTGCCCCCACCAATACAGACACAGACTGACACACACACACACACTCACTCACTCACTCACTCACACTGCCATACACACCTGGAACCCAGTGACATAGCCACCCCTGCATGTGGGGCCTCAAAAGATTTAAGAAATGAATTTATCAGGGTTCACTAATACAAAGAGAAAACATTTCCTGAGCATTTATTTTATGACAGGTCTTGTGCTAAATCCTTTACTTACATTATTTCATAAAATACTCAGAGCAACTGCATGAGGCAGGGATTGCTAGTATTCTCTTTGCAAATATGAAGAAACCAAGGCTCAGAGAAAAAGGAAAATTGTTCACTTAAGGAGCACTTGCTTATGAGATATTCAAAGCTGAATGCTGTGTTTCACTACATCTGGTTCTAAGCAGCTGAAACTGTTAAGGACCATGAATCATGTGTTACCTTGGTTCAGGGTCAGACGTAACCTACCAGATTATTCTTTCCTGATTTGTGGTTAACAGGACTTGATTTACTTAATTGTACACAGGCTTGTGAACTCATTCCACCCTCTCCATAACGCAAATGTTTAATCTTTAATGAGCCTATTCCACTGTTACCCACTGCCCTCTGGACACTGACTTTTCCCCATCAGAGCACTACTCTATGAATTTCCTTCCTGGTATGTTCCTGTGCCTGGCAGGTAAATAAAATCATCTTTGGTGTTGGAGCTGTGATCTTTGTTTTATTTGGTGGCTGAGATAACACATCTAGTACGTGATAGAGCTGAGGCACAAATCCATTCTGAGTGACTTAAAACCTATATATTTAATTTCTGTGTTTACTCATTAACTAAATGATGGGAGTAAATTGCATTCAAGCCAGCAAGCTATGCATTCAAGCTAATAGCAAGATATGTATAGATATTTATATTATATATATACAAATAAAGGAAGCTGATTCTACAACTTTAAATCCAACTAACTCTAATTCAGCCTTCCCTTTATAACAGCAAGATCCTTGCTCTTGGGAGTTCTTCCTATCACAGTAATAATGATGTTATGAATGGTAATAACAGTGTAATAATATTAACAACAACATCAATGACAACTTAAATACAGATAGTGCTTCCCCAGTGACAGGCCATCTTTCTTTTCCAGCTATCTCAAACCAGATATTGAAATGTCTTATTTGCTGGTGATAACTTGAATGTGCATTTATAGAATTTCTTTCTGTAGATCTGGGTCAAAACTGGCTATATATGGGGTAGTAGGGATTGTGACAGACTGAAGAACAGTGTTCATGTGAAGGCAGTGGCCATTACTCTGATTCTATTGCCTGTCATGGAGGAATACCAGCCCAGTATTGCCAGCTCTTCCCCTTTCAAGAGGCACCAAAACTCTGGATCATTATGTAGAGTTTACCACATTTTAAGATACTATATAAACCAGACTGAACATACCTGCAGGCTGAAATGACCCTCTCCATAGTCTTGGCCACAGATGGACTTAAATGTGCAAATGTATAAAAACAAACAAATAAAACTTTGTGTCATTTTTAAAAATCTTTTTTAAAGTTTATTTTTGAAAGAGATAAATAGCATTAGTGGGGGAGGGACAAATAAAGGAACAGAGAGAGAGAAAAAAGAGAGAGAGAGAGAGAGAGAGAGAATTCCAAGCAATCTCTGCACTATCAGCACAGAGCCCAATGCAAGGCTCAAACTCATGAAACTGTGAGATCATGCCCTGAACCAAAATCAACTGTACGATGCTTAACTGACTAAGCCACCCAGCTGCCCCATAAATTGAGGCACTTATTGTATGGTATTGATTGAACCATTTGGCTGACCTGGTAAAACAATTTATATGATGGTATTGTAGTCATTAGATGAATAACTTTTTTGTTCAGTGAACTTGGATATGTGGTTTTTAAAAGCTCTTTTGCCATTTTACCTTTTAAAATGTCTAACTAATGTATTTAACTTTTCAGTTTATCTTTATTAGAAGAATTTGACTGTAGCTGTAATGAATTGGAGTGTCTACCTTCTACTATTGGCTACCTTCATAGTCTTCGAACGTTAGCAGTCGATGAGAATTTTCTTCCAGAATTACCCAGAGAAGTGAGAAATACATTTGTTTCTCTTAATTAACTTTAAATGAATATTGAAAGATTAAGTCTTAACTAGTGCAGTAGCAATGTAGATTAATGAGTTGAGCTGTCAATGTATATAGGAGTTATCTATATAATATTTGCTAATTATTCTCCTTTAAATAATAAGTGGTAAGTTCTTACATTTGACTCAGAAAATGCATTTGACTTGAACACTACTTGAAAAGAAAAGTAATAAAATATTGTAAGTTAGTCAATGCTAAGGAATACGTTTCAGAATATTTAAATATTTTGCCTTTAGAATAGTGATAAATAGCATTCTGGGATAATTACATTTCCATTTCTGAAATGAAAGATTTTTAACATATACATGTTTTTTAAAGTATCATGTGGCATAATAATATTATTTTTATTTAAGAATTCATCAAGAGCTTTCATTGGTTTTTATATCTGAGTGTGATTTTATTTGTTAATGTCAAGAAAATAGTGTGGGGTGTATTTTCAATTTAGTATTTTCTACTAAACATTTCCATAATGAAGGAACAATAATCAATATGCCATTATTTTAGAGCCAAAAGTTATGAATAAAAATGACAAGTACTATTGCAACATGAAATAAAACTAACTTTGTCAAGGCAATGTTAACATCTTTGAGTATGTATAATCTATCAGAAACATAGAAGTGTTAGCAATTACTTGGATGGACAAAAACAATGTGATTTATTAAAATAATGAAGTTAATTAGCATTCTAATAATAAAATTATAAAGAAAATTCTTTCTAATATGCAAAAGAGTGTGAGATATATGTTGCTTTAATAGCTAAAGGAATATAAATAATAGGTGCACATATTTTAAAGAGTGAAATTATAAAAACTAAAACAATAGACATACTAAGGGAGTCTTAAAGTGACAAGAAAATCTGTAAAATAATTATTTTAATATTAAAAGTTAATATAAATGGTTTACAGTATATTTATTTATTTTCTTTTGTCACCCATAGATTGGAAGCTGTAAGAATGTAACAGTTATGTCTCTACGTTCTAATAAACTGGAATTTCTTCCTGAAGAGATTGGACAGATGCAGAAATTAAGAGTCTTAAATTTGAGTGACAACAGGTAGTTCTGCAACATTTAACAATCACATATTAGCTATTTACTAACAGCAAATTATTGTATCTTGTTAATGACTTTAAAAACATTTTCTGTGTCTTAGGAGGTATATAGAATGTAGATATCCATGTTTTATTGAGAAAAAAGCACAAGATAAATTATTTTTACACTGATATTCTAAATTTTATTATTTGATAAAATTAAGATCATATTTTTATTGTATTGTATTTTAAATAACATAAAACTTATACACACAAATTTATATACCAAACCCCTTCTATATTCAGAAAGTATAATGTTATGAAAACAGGGAAAAATTATATTAACAAGCTACAAAATTTATGACTTAAAATATGCATGTATATAACTATGTGTGTATATACACATATGTATGTATTTTCATGTATATACTAATGTCTCCAGTAAATTAACTTGGCAATGTGTGTCTTGTCAACACCACCAGAATCCTGGAAGAATATTGCCAATTAGCTAATATCAAAAGCCATAAAGTTTGTACATTATGGTAAGGACAGCCAAATGGCTATTTAGCCATGTTCAGACCAAGGCAAGAAAATAAAAGATAGATCTCTTTCTTGTGACTAAGGTGTTATCATAGTGGATAGGCAAAAAGGTAAAAGCAAAACTGCAATTCATCTTTGTTTCCACCACAACTGTCCTTCGATAGAAAAGGATAAAAGTAGATATTGACTGAAGATAACTGCTAAGTAGATAAAATGATTACAGAATAGAATGTATGCAATAAGTTTCAGTCAGACAGATGACAAAATGAGAAACTGAGAGGTTACAGTGAAACAGTCAAAGATGACTTTTATGGATCATTTAGAATGTTCAGATCTGTAAGTTTCAAGATGAGTGTATGAGTTCTCATTTGTTTGTTCGTTTGTTTAAGAAAATGATAATAATAATAATGTGATTTTCAAAAATCACATTTATTTAGTACTTCAGTAATATTCCCATGTAAGAGAATAAAGCATTTTATTAAAAGGTTTGGGATTTCATTTTTAAAATTAAGATGATAAGGAAGCTTCATAGCTTGGTACAAGAGCAAGTCCAATCAAATCAATCTTATCTCCTGTTTGGACTGGGTTACCCGACAAGAAAATGAGAGAAATACACTGAATGTTCTACATGACTTTCAGCAAAACATTTTTCAAAATCTTCTAATTATATTTGTATGAATAAGATTAGGAAATATGGTAATGGAGATATAATAAGAAGATGGATTCTCAGTAGATTTCATTACAGTCCCCAATGGAACTGAGCTCCACTCTGTTTTAACTTGGAGGGAGGTTTTCATAATGAGCTATAGAAGTCTCTCTTAAATTCTTGGTCTACTCAACTTTTATTCAGTAATAATCTGAATGATGATATAGAAACTATGCTTATTAAGTGTTTAAAAAGACCCATAATTAGAAGTACTACTAATGAAGTTATTTTTTGACTGTTTTTATTGAAGCATAATTAACATATAGTGTTACATTAATATCAGGTGTACAATATAATGATTCAATAATTCCATACATTACTCGGTGCTCATCACTATACATGTACTCTTATACTCTGGTTTCTCTTCAGATCGCATAAATCTTTCACCTTTTACTATACATGTACTCTTAATCCCCATTATCTCTTTCACCCATCCCCTCCCCCACCTCCCCTCTGGCAACCACAAGTTTGTTCTCTGTATTTAAAGGTCTTTTTTTGTTTGTTTCTTGTCTTCTTTGTTTTTTTTTTTAATTCCACATATGAGTGAGATCATATGGTATTTGTCTTTGTCTAACTTCGCTTCACTTAAGAGTATACCCTCTAGGTCCATCCTTGTTGGACCTGGCAGATAGCAAGATCTCATTCTTTTTTGTGGCTGAGTAATATATAGATATAGATATAGATATAGATATAGATATAGATATAGATATAGATATAGATATAGATATAGATTAGATATAGGTATAGATATAGGTATAGGTATAGATATAGATATAGATATAGATATAGATATAGATATAGATATAGATATAGATATAGATAGATATCTATACATCACATTTTTATCCATCAATCTATGGATAGACACTTGGGTTGTTTCCATATTTTGGCTATTGTAAATAATGCCACAATAAATGTAGGGATACATATATCATTTTGAATTAGAGCTTAGATTTTATTTACCTCAAGTAGATTCCCAGTAGTAGAATTACTTGATCATATGATATTCCCATTTTTAATTTTTTAAGAAACCTCCATACTGTTTTCCATAGTGGCTGCACCAGTTCACAGTCCCAACAACAGTGCAGCAAGGTTCCTTTCTCTCCACATTCTCGCCAACACTTGTTATTTCTTGTCTTTTTGATTCTAGCTATTCTGACAGGTATAAGGTACTATCTCATTGTGATTTTGATTTGCATTTCCCTGATGATCAGTGATGTTGAACACCTTTTCACGTGTCTTTTGGCCATTTGTATGTCTTCTTTGGAAAAAAATGACTATTTAGGTACTCTGCCCATTTTTTAATTGACTTATTTTTTCATTTGGTGTTGAGTTGTGTAAGTTTTTTTAATATAGCTTCGATATTAGCCCCTTATCAGATATATCACTTGGAAATATCATCTCCCATTCAGTAGATTGCTTTTTGGTCTTGTTATTGGTTTTCTTCACTGTATAAAACAGTCTTTTTGTTTTTTTGTGTTTTGTTTTTGTTTTGTTGTGTTTTTTGGTATGATCCCAATAGTTTAGTTTTGCTTTTGTTTCCCTTGCCTGAGGAGATATATTTAGAAAAATATTTCTACAGCCAATGTCAAGGAAGTTATTGCCTGCTTTCTTCTAGGAGTTTTATGGCTTTAGGCCTCACATTTAAGTCTTTGATCCATTTTGTGTACAGTGTAAGAAAGTAGAAAGGCTACTAATGAAGTTATTTATTCAACAAATAGAGGATAGTTCAATAACCACCATGGGACAGACATATTGCTAGATGCTTGGACAAAAGATATGAATTAGACATTGAGAATCTCACAATATCCAGGAACTTAAAATATTTTGTCAGGCCAGTTATATAAGCTTAATTTTTCTCCTACTACAATGACTAGAACATAGTATAGAGCCAAATTAATATCTTTTAATTAATGAATTAATCAATGACTCTTAACCTGGAGCTAAAATCAATATTAAATGAGAGCTGAGGCCAAATTGAACATTACTATCAGAGAAAGAAGTGGATAAAAGATTAAATATGAAATACTTTGAGAAAAGATTAAATATGAAATGTCATCCAAATGTCATGACTATCACAGTTTCACATTTATAATAGAATGCATTTTAAAAGTTTTGGTATTATGGTTTAGGATTATTCCCAGGCACTGTCAGCTGCAAGATTGTTCCTATGGTCAATGTATTACACATTTGTGATAGTAAATAGAGGTTCACTTTTAACATACATTACTGGAGGAGTAAGGAGAAATGAGTATAATTCATCCTTCTCTAACAGTCTCTTTTCTTTACACTCCACATTTATGACTAGATTCATGATGATTTTTCATGCATGTTGTTGTATATGAACCTGGACAGTTTCCCCCTCATGTAATGTTTATGCAGCAGGATTGATAGATAGTCTACTTTTAATTCATCTCCATATGATGTGGAAAAATTCTTCCCATAAGATCTTTATAATTTCTGGCTTCAATGAAATTAAATAACTGAAAACTACAAATGGTCTTTATGTACTTTGGTTTCATGTTATAAATACTAGTATAACAAATAATTTCATAAAAAGAGAACTATAAGTTAGTCTCCATTATTCTTTATATTCTTACTTCTTAGTTATGTTTTATAAATATTTATGAGCTCGGAGAGGTTATTATATTCTTCCTAAAGTTATCTGGCTAATGCACACTGTTGATATTTGTATTGGCTGTCAATATCTTTTCATATTTATTAAATTATTTGAATGGCTTCACTCCTTTCATATAATATAAACTACTCCCACAATCCTTATTAATTATTGCAATATTTTCCATTTCCATTATCAAAATATATGTATTCATGGATTGGCTGAAAGAATTCCAGCACATTAAAGACTTAAGGAAATTTTCATTCCAAGTTCTATGTAATATGCGTTTTTCTATTCAAAAATGAACATGCAGAAATTAACAATAAATCCAGTGGCAGCCTTTATTTATATTACCACTTTGCTGAGTATCTATGATGGCAATCACATATATGCCTATGCAATCACAATGTATTCATCATGCACTATTTTAGGGATATCAAATAGTATGTTGAAGTAGGCATTTGGCAATTTGGTCCTCCAAAGTCTGAAGCCAAAACTAAACAGATAATTTCAATTGAATACCAAAGCTGATGCCAAACTTCACATACCTCAAAATGCATTTTTAAAGATTCCCTCCTGGAATATTTACTACACAAAATTCAAAAGGTGACAGAACAAAAGGACACACTCTCAGGTGTCATCAAAGCATTAGGAGCTGTAGATTCCTTTAGCAGTATGACAGACATGACCTCTTCCCATTTTGGAGCCTACAGTTCTGTGGGGATTTCAGTCAGCAAAATGTAATCACAAAATACATATGTAATTACAAACCATGATGTGTTCCATCAAAGAAAGTATAAAGTACTTAGAGACTACAGTGGGGAAAGTTATTTAAATGAGGAGGCAGGAAAAACGTCTTTGAGAAAATGGCATTTAAGTTGAGTGCTAAAGGACATGTGAGATTTAGTAAAGTGAAGGAGAAGAATATTCCAGACAGAGAGAAGAGTTTGGCTAATGCTCTCAGTGGGCTGATAAAAGGCCAGTCAGTGACGCTAGTGGGACTAAGCCAGGAAAAGAGTAGCAGAAGTTTCTGGAGGGGCTTGAAGGCCAGATCTTATAACCGACAAGGCATGGTAACAATTTTGGATTTTATCCTAGATGTGATAGGAAGCATTTGGAGGATTGTAAATAGGAGATTTTCACTTTTAAAAGGTTGCTCAGACTACTGAAGAGAAAGAATTGGAGAGGAGAATGAAATCTATAAGTTACAGTATTTTAAATAATTCTTCATAAAAAATGAACTATATCCATCTTCACCCACACTATTAGAATTTTTTTGTTTTCACAGGTTGAAGAATTTACCATTCTCATTTACCAAACTTAAAGAACTTGCAGCTTTGTGGCTTTCTGACAATCAGGTAAAAACTGTTATACCTGATTTGTTTATCAAGATGAACTATACTTTAAATTTGGAATTACTAACTTATTCCCATTAGCTAACTTGGCAGATACTGCAGAATATATGTTCCTTTGTCTTCTGGAAGAGAAATTTTTGTAAAGATAACAGTTTAAGTGTGTATTTCATTGCTACAGATAATACAGTACTATTATATCCACCTTCTTTAAATACTTTGACTTAGCATCAACTTCATTCTCAGAGATTGAATACACAAAATGATAATTTTTATAGCTTTTTACTTCTAAGCAGTACCTATGTGTCCTTAGGGAATGTTCTTTAATTATATCTCTAAAGGTAAGGAATAAGAAATCATTACTGCAATCCCTACTGAGGTAATTATTATTTTACATATTCCTTTTTTTTAAATAATTTTAATTATAATCAACTTAATTATAAAATTTTATATGGGGAATTGCCACATATATTTTGTAATTATTATCAGTATTTTCTGTGAAATTGGTTTGATATTTTTTATACTCACAAAAATAGGTTATAATCTAATCAGTAATGGAGTGTTAATGAATAACTTTAATAACTGGAAAATAACAAGAAATAGTTGAAGACATCTGATTTGCCTCCAGAAAAAAATGTGATAGATAATTTTGACATGGCTTATTAGTCTTCTTTTACTTTTTCCTCATAATCCCAAAATTTTGAAACACCTTTTCCCAAATATGAATAGCCAAATGAAAATAAATCATCTTGAATTTAGTTTGTTACCATTATCTCCTGAGCATGAAAGTAGCATTACTGCATAATGAATTAATCAGATTTCTAGGTATTGGGCTACTTCTGTGAAAAATTATATCTCTACAAAATGTAAAATGTAAGCGTAAGAATAATGTTTGTGTCCCTATAGTCATCATAGTACTTGCTTCCATCTGCTGAGTAAAGAAATTAGATTCAAATCCAAATCTTATCAATGAACTATAGATTTTTTCAAAGCATTAATATATCATTATAAATAATTTCTGGATTCAGTGTGAGCTATGCTAATGGAACAATCTATTCTACAGTCTTTCATTGTGAAAAAACATCTGCTAATATCATGATTTATTATTCTTGTGGGAAAATGAGCTGAACAGTAACTGCATCATTTAACTTTTATTTTTAACAGTGTTTTAATGTGTTTCTGACTCAGTTTCATGGGACACATCGGTATCCCAAAACCCCTTTGTGCCTCACTCCTATTAATAAATGTCATGAACTTGTGGGGATGAGCATTGGGTGTTATGTGGAAACTAATTTGACAATAAACTATTTGTAAAAAAAAAAAAAAAATTTAAATTAAAAAATAAATGTCCTGAAATTAGTGGATTTTTTAAACATTAGATATCATTTCCAATATATTATATAAATAGGATGTAATATCAGAGTTCCACAACACCCTTCAGAAAGCATATTTCTAAAATCAAATTAATAATGAAGAATGAAATATTAACATCCACAAGAAATATTTTGATATATCAGATACAATAAGAATACTTTTTTATTTTTATGTGGACTCTGCCTTTGGTTACAAAAATATCTCAAAAAATGTTTGTTTTCACCCAGTTAAATTCATAGATGATCTTGCAATAGCAAGAGACCTTGCAAACGGTCTAAGTCTTTATAGATCTTAGAATTTGAGAATATTCCTCAGCAACAGTCTTATTTTGTGTAATGCTTTCTTATTTTATTACTTTTTCTCTTACCTTTTCTTTTAATTGTTCTTTCAGCTCAATGAAGCCAAACTATTGCCCATTGACTTATATAAAAGTAATATTCTTCATATTTGCTATCTTATTAATCTATTTTATATGTTCTTTGCTTCTAGTCAAAAGCCCTTATCCCTTTACAAACTGAAGCCCATCCAGAAACAAAGCAAAGAGTATTGACTAACTACATGTTTCCCCAGCAACCTCGTGGTGATGAAGGTAAATTATTAGTAAAAATTTCTCCCATGCTTATACAATTATGGATAAAAGGGAATAATTTTATTCGGTATTTGCCCAGGAATACTAGCACATGGACGATGCTATAAAAATAATTGGATGACATATATAAGTCATCCAGGAGTTAAACCTAAGCATGAATCTGATCTTCCACAATCAGCAAGTAAAAGTCAAACCTTTGCTATTTGCAGATGACATGCTACTCCATGTAGAAAACCTGAAAGACTCCACCAAAAAACTGAGAGAACTGATAAATGAATTCAGTAAAGTTGCAGGATACAAAATCAATGTTGTTGTTTTTTTAATTTATTTCTAGGAGAGAGAGAGAGAGAGCGTGAGCAGGGAAGGGTCAGAGAGAGAGGGAGACACAGACTCTGAAACAGCCTCCAGTCTCTGAGCTGGCAGTCAGCACCGAGCCCAACGCGGGGCTCGAACCCACGTACCGCGAGATCATGACCTAAGCGAAAGTCGGACGCTTAACCGACTAAGCACCCAGGCGCCCCACAAAATCAATGTTTTAAATAAGATCCCAAAAACGTAACTCTTCTGTTCATATCTTACATGAAAGTCTTGATTTTTAAGAGCAACTTCTCTTGGTAGATTCCGACATAGGACTAGTTAACTAAATGTAGTATCCTGCAAACTGAAATGAGCTAAGAAGGGTCAGATTTTAAGGAAGGCTCAATAAACTATTTTATTTCCTGTGTTCACTAATTTGATGAACACAGTTTAAACATTTAGTCTGGTGATCCCAGGCCCTAAATTATTTCATGTTAAAACCATAAAGAGATGACTTGAAAATAATGACCATTCTTTCTTTCTCTTTCAAGTTGAGTTTCTTCTCTAAACTGTCAGTAGCTCTGATAGAAATACTTTTTGAAAAACCTAAACATTTTTTAAAATTGAATCTTCTATCCTTGATGATGAGAGATTCCATAGAGATTTGTTCTTTACCATTTGAAACTCTGCATAGTCTCCTTAGCCCACACCCAGACAGGCTGACATACATCTTTTCTGCAGTCTTACAGTAATACTAATTCTTTGAAGAGTAAACCCATTTTATTCCACCCATGGGTTAAATCCACCCAATTCACTTGAATGCGAGCAACTTTTAAAAGAAACAGTTTATGTATCTATTTTCAGGAATAACTATAATAAAGGTCTTTAGTCTTTGACTTATAAATATAAGTGAATCATTTTGGGATTCTTTAGAATATTTAATTTAAATTTTGACTTGCAAAAGCAGGAAAAGGAAATATTGATTCTATATTTTTAAGGCTTCAATAAAATTGATCTTTTGAATTTTATACAAGAAAAGTCATCATGTTTACGTATGCTATAAGAAAAACCTTAAGAAATTATTGCTTTATTCATTCAACTTTACTTATATTTTCATATTAATATCCCCAGATTTTCAAAATATTTCATTTAAAAAATGAAGGGTAAAGTGAAAAGAGTCTCAGATTTGCCTGTCATTTCTGAGATATGGTTGTACAGATTAAATCCCTAATTTATTGTAGGGAGTGGGGTAGATCTAGTTAGACAAGGTGTGATGTTAAGGAATTAACCAGGTTTGATTTTGTTTTGCTTTCTTTTTGGGAAAGAAGAGTTGCTAATATAAATATTTTTTTGAACTTTAAGCAAGTCACCCTTTGGCTTTTCAGGCAGAAGTATAATAAATGAATATTCAGAATCCCTTGCAACAAATGAGTACATATATGGTAAATGTTGTCCTTTGGAAAAGAATTTAGCCTAAACTAAGTACTTGTACTGCATTTTCACGTGATCTTCACAATTAATGTTGCCAAGGAAGATATTACTATTAGCCTATATTTTGATATAAATTAAATACTTATAAGCCACTTATTTTCCTTATTAATGTAGGATATATTTAGACTATTGAGACTATAATGTTAAAGACTGCATTTTCATATGTTGATAACCCTAAAAATAAGCTCCCCTACATTTCCTCCCAGCCACATACACACAGCAAAAAAAAAAAAAAAACCTTTTAATCATACACACTTTACTGAAAATCCAATGTTACCTAGTACCTTTTATAAAATCCGGATAGAATTTAGTGGCTACAAATATGGGTATGGGCTCTGTAATCACAGACATGGAATGGAATCCTGGCCCAGAGAAAACTATAGTTTTCTCATTAACAAATTGTGGATATATTAGTACTATGCATAGTGTGCTGGTGTGAAGATTAAAAAAAAAAATTTAATGTATAGTCCAGCTATTATTATTATTATTATTATTATTATTATTATTATTATTTGGAGAGCTTATTCTCCACACTAGAAAACTTCCCAATCCCAATATGTAATTAATATGCACTTAGGAAAGCTGAATTTGAATTAAAATGTAAAAGACCATGTTACAAATATCAAAGGAACTTTCCTCTCTTTTTCTTTCCTTTCTTCTTTATTTCCTTCTTTCTTTCTCTTTATTTTTCTCTTTTTTTTTACTTTTGTACTTGTTTATATTACCTATTGCCATTTTTTTGCATAGTGTACTAAGCTCTATTAATAACACTTCATGTAAAAAAAGCAATAATACTTTGGAATCTAACTGTAGATTTCCAGTCAGACAGTGACAGCTTTAACCCAACACTGTGGGAAGAGCAGAGACAACAACGCATGACTGTTGCCTTTGAATTTGAAGAAAAAAAAGAAGATGACGAAAACACTGGGAAAGTTAAGGTGAAACTTTTAATTTTGTTTCTTCTTTCTTCTCATAATCTTCGGTTGTCCATTGTTATTAATACAATCGACTTTGGGACAAATTGAGTGACCTCAGCTTGAAGGTCAGATACATCTTCAAGTCTCCTGGTGGTATCTTTCATTATAGCAGAATGGTAATTTGAGAAGCATCGGTGTGCTTCAGAATGAGACTAATGTCCCAATTCTAACTGAGCAAATTTAATACACATCTTACAGAGTAACAACATGAAGGAGATTCAAGGTGATAGCCAAAACAAACAAACAAATCTGGGTGATAGACTTTACCTAAGCATCTTACTACATTTTAGAAACACTGAAATGGTTTTCTTTTAATCATCAAACAAGGCATCAGGCATGCCATATGAGACCAGAGTACATATTTAAGGAAGAACCAATAGATTAATATATTACATTGGCATTAAAATCTCTGAAAGATTCTATGTCCCTGAGGTATCTGAGAAGATTTTCTGAGTTTTCTTAAATGTGAAAACAAGTTTTAAAGGAGGCAAGTGCCTAATACCAGGGGATATTCAATTTTTCACCTCAAACATATATTTTTGAAAATTTTTTTGGAACTAATTTAAGTCAAGCAACAAGGTAGAATTTTACAATCTATGTTTTTTATTATTTAAATTTAAAGCTATCTGAAGTGATATAGATCTTCTCAACATCAGATCTTCATACTATCATCATGGCAACATCTTGAATCTCTCACTAATTTTTTGTAGTATTATTTGTGTACTTTTTCCATCGTGAATACTAACAGCTCTCACTCTTAGTGACTAATTCCCTAAATAATTGTGATGTGCATCCTATTAATAGATATAGATTGTGTAATGTGTTGTCTTCTTTCCCCTCATTCCCACATTTTCTAAACTTCTTTCTTAAACCAACATATCCTGGAACCTTACTAGATTTAGGCAGTAAGGTAATTGACAAGGTCTACCTCTACATCATTGTGGAGAACCCAAAATGGATTCCCAAATCAAAATGATAGTTTTGTTAAAGATTTGGGTTTGAAAAAAAAATGTTTCTTGATGCTTGGTTAATGCTATCTAATAACCAAAGAAACATTTTTTTTAACATGTGAATTCCTAGAAAAAACAATGACAAACTAAAAATAAACAAAGACCCTTACAACATCTAGTTCTTCTTTTAAGATTTCATATGTTAAATCTAGAACCAATGGATGATGCATTCTATACTGGACCTCTGATTCATTCTTTTACTTCACTGAATGTCAAAAACTACATACTTATTCCTAAAAATCTATATTCAAAGTATCCAACAAGAAATAGTACATTTAATATACTCTGGTATATGTGTCAATGAAAACATAAAATATGGTAAATGCAAACAGTTATTTAGAAGCCCTGTTTGTGTGTTATGTGGTCAGGTTTGTTTATAATCAGAGTAGGCTCATTATACTTTAGATTGCATTTCTTTATGCTTATTTATATTTGATTTATTTATATTTTAGTGAAACAATATATGTTTCAAAAGTCTCAAATACTTGTTTTGACTAATTTGAATATTTCCAATGCCTTTGGCTATTGGACAAATTAGAACACAAACAAACTTCTAAATAAATCATCATGGAAATATGATGAATGGAATATATGGAAATCTTATACTAAATCAATCACATATTTTTGGTTCATTACGTATACATTAAATTTAGCACCATTTTACCTTTTGTTTATGTAAAATTTAAAAAGGAACCACTGACCAAATGGACTAGAGTATAATGCCCTACTTATAGAGTGTATAGTGTAGTATGACTGCTGCATTGTGTGAAGAAATGGTGACCCTTTAGCTTCATATGACACTGTTACTGTTTTATTACAGAGAGTTTGAACTAATTTTCTGTGGTTGTTTTAAATGCATTACCCAGAGTGAAAAAAAAAAATCAAGAGTAGAAAAATGATAAAGTGAAAGTATTGCTACAGTGCTCCTCTTTCTCCCAGAAAATGGAGATTCCTTCTCCCACAGGATCACTCCTGCCAAGCCCCCTGGGAAAGGGGCCAGCGTGGGATTACTCTCCAACCTGCCAGACTGTCTGGCGATTGCTGCACACCATGGGCCAGGTGTGATCAGCAGATCCAAGATATGCCCGTCCCCCAGAATGACCCACAGCTGGCATGGGGTTGTATAAGTGGCCTCCAGCAGGAAAGGAGCATGTGTACTCCATTGCCAGTTGCAGCACAATCCACCACTCTTCCCTCTCTAAGTGGCAGACAGGTAGGCCTAGGTGTCTGGGGTAGGAGTATCCCCCATGTAGAGGCAACCTTGGCACAGTGGTTTATGGGGTATGTTCTGCATGATTTGGGGTAAGGAATGTTGATCCTATAGAAACCATCCAGTTGCCAGTGTTTGATCTCAATGTAAGTTTTTGTTCATTGACATTGGCAATTGGATGGAGAGAACCAAGTCAGGGGAGGGAACATCAATAATGAGGTGTCTAATGGTGGGAGATACGGCATGATTTTTGAGTTGGGTGCTTCATTTTTATTTATGTTTTCATTTTTAAAGATTTTTTTCTTTCAAGTGTGGGAATACCAATAGTTGGGCAGAATGTTGATGACACTATTGATAACATCTAAATTGTCCCCATACATACATGCATTTTTGCATAATTTCTATTCTGAGGGAGATTAAATCACTAAAACCTGATTCTTAAAATAGCATGAGATTTGAATTGAGATTTGCTGAGAGTGGACTTTGAGCACAAAGATGGACATCTGTTGAAAAGCATCAACTTCCCTCTAATTTGAAGGCACAGATGATGAGAATTCCTGTAAGAGAAGATTGGTTTAGGAGTTGTGGCAAATAGGTCATCCTTATCTCAGTGGGTTGGGTGTTTAAAAGTTTAATTTTAAAAATATCTTAATGGAATGTGAAAAAACACTACATTTTTGGTGAGCATTACCATCCACATTCAATGGACTAGATTCTTACTCTGTGTCTTATATTCTATCCACAATATAAGACCAGCTGAGAATCCTAACTAAAACTGCTATAGGTTTCCTTTCTGTGTAAAATGTTCTGATTAAATCGGAGTATAAGATATTTTAACAATCAATAATCAAAGCATTAACTATTAATTCTCTTACTGGAATTTATATTCAAACCAAATTAGAATGTAATCATCGCATAAGAAAACCACAGTTTTCTTTGTGAATTCAAGATATCATCTCTAAATGCCTAGCTATTTATGCTTTTTCTTCCATTGCTAAACTTTTGGGAGTCTCCAACATCTTGCAGCTGCTATTTGCATTTACTGCACTTTTTTGAGATCTGAGATCTATAGAAAGTTGTGAAACATTTCTATTTTTCTAAAATTGAAGAGAAATCATATTGCAGTAAAAAATCTTTCATTTTAATATGATGTATATGTAAAATGAACAAATACTTTATGGTGAGTGATATATACAACATTTTGATAAGAAAATAAGTGACAATTTTTCCCACCTATTTGAATCATAAATGAATTTACGTATTTTTCCATCCCATATTAGAAAAATGGAATATATCTAGCCCATATATTTAGAAATATAAAGAAACTGCTTTTGTATTGGGGCGTTTCTGAACTATTAATAAAATTGTGTTTATGATCATGTTTATTCAGTTCCAAAACACTACACATATTTAAAAAGTAGGAAGGCAAAAAAAAGAAAGAAAAGTAAGAAGGCAAAACCATCTATAAATGGGTATAAAATATGCTCTTGCAGAGCTTACAAACTTAACAATTATTAAATATTATAGTTTTATTTAAATGTAAAAAGGGATTATAAAAATTGTTAGCTTCATGTTTTTAAAAATTGAAATTATCTCATTATTTAACTCAATAAAATTCACTTTATAGATTTATAAACACCGTTTTTACACAAGATTGTACAAATATGTGCTCACTTCTATCAGACAATAGCCCTGAGCCAAGTAACACTTCTGTAGCATAGGCTTTGGAGTCAAAGACCTGAGTTTGAATTTGGGCATTGCTATAACTGTATGACTTTGCACAAGGAACTTACACTATATAAGCTCTATTTTCTTTTGGTAGAATGGGAACAGATGCTATACTGGGTTATAAAATTTAAACTATGTTTAATTATAATTATTTAATTGTTATTAATTATAATTGTATACTGTTTATATTTAAATCTATATGATAAATAATTTAAAAGTATCATTTTTCATATAGATAATAATAAATTAAATATCCCTATAAACATTTTGCATGTGCCTGGCACGTGGAAAATACTGAATAAATAATGGTTGCTGCTGCATACAATCTGAAAAAGTCCAGATAGTTACAGGTAACATGGTGTTTATATATATATGAAAATATAGTATATATAGTAGAATCTAAACTGCCAAAAAAATTCACATTTTAAAAATACCTAAGTAGAGTCTGATTTTAGAAAATAGTACATAATCTCTCAATATAATTTACACATTTTCAAAATACTGCCACAGTTATTATCTCATTTTAGTCGTAGATTCACCAAAGATATTATCATTCACATTTTACATGAGTGGAAACTGGACAGAAAGATTAGTGGCTGATAGCTTGTTTGAGGTAAATCTGTAGTTTAAATTTAGATCTTCTGACTCCAGGTCCAACAATTTCTATTGGTAGACTGGTAAATGGGAAGCAAGGAGCTTATTGGCTAGGTGAACTACATCCAAGTTGTATGAGACCTGAAGCTCCCACAGTTGGAGAGGGGCCTCTTTAAGGAAAAGGATATAAAATAACCATGTAAATATATAAGTAGGTCCCCTCAAAAGGCTTTGGAAAGAGGCTGTGCAAGTGACAGGCTCTAAAGCTTAAGCTTCATTAAATTCATGACAAATCTGTTTCTGTTTCTAAATTTAAATATTTTATAGACATAAAGTACTCAAACATATTCTGGTGATGTGACCAAAACATCACATTAATTTGCTTATAAAATAACCAGAAAATATTGGCACCATGGCCATTAGTAAACAGTCATCTATTATGTCAGATGAGACATAGCATCTACAAAAAAATAGATTACATTATTTGATGAGGACTCTAATCCAATTAAAGAAGAACATTTCACAAGTTTTTTCTTTTTGATTCAATTTAGAAGTGTAATTTTAGCAATGAGGATTTTTTAAGGTACATAGGATTTTAATTCTCTACCTGAAAATTATTTTTCATTCATATACCATTGGTTATTAAAAATTAAAAGATGTTCTTAATTGGCATAATAGCTGTATCACTCTTCAATCTATATTTTTAAATGTAGTTTTTTGACTTTTAGCCCTTTGATATCAAGTACTTTTAAATGAGTTCAATGTAATTTAAAACTTACATTTAATTTGCAGTGAACATTTCTAATACCAACTTAAACAGCAGATCCAAGAATGCATGCATCCCAGTGGACTTTGTCTAGCATGGATATCTTTCTTTTTATGTTTATTTAAGAATGCATTATAAATTAAGTACCCTGAGCTATATTTATACTACATTCTAACAACTTACACTTTTATCTGAAAAGTCTAACTTTCTTGGGTTATATTTTTGCAGCTTTATTTCTATATATTACTAAGTTCATTCTTATTTGTTTGAGTGGAAAAGACTAAATTATATTTAAGCTGTCTTTATACTAGCAAAATTATCTGGTTTTTCATCAGCCTTTCAAAAATGGATTGGAGAAATAATTTTGTATTTTTAGTCCTAAAAGGAATGTTAGAAATCATCTAGTGGAGTCCAATCCCCAGACTTGATACGGAAAATGAGCCACAAGGTAGATGAATATGACAAAGTTGGTGGATTTGCTAAAAACTGCAGATGAGCAAAAGTGTTTGAATTCATATTTACAATCCTTAGATCTATACCACCATCATAGTTTCTTACATCCCATGAATTCCATAGGTGTGGGCAGGTGGGGTTGCGTGTACCCACCCCACTTTCTCCTTTCCTCTCTCATTCCCACTCCTTCCTTCCTCAGCTTTGCTTTCTCCTTTTCCTCTCCTCCCAACCTACCCCCACATGCACTTTCCACAGACACATACTCACTACAATCACATAAACCATTCCATTTTGTAAAGTTGGTTCTACTCAGATGCAAAAAGTTATGACTGTTGGAATAAGCCAGGCCAAATAAATCTGCTCCTTATTTTTCTTCCCACTCCCTTTTAATCAGCATAAATAAATTGGATTTACTCCAATTTAGGTATGTATTAAATATTCTGATAATGAGATATTCTATAAGGAAGTGTCTCATATTTTCTCCCCCTAAATTAAATGTGGAGAATAATCATCAATATAAATGTTCCTTAAAATCATATTGATAACGCCAAAAACGAATTCAAGAAAGGGAACAGATATCTGGGTAAACGTAAGCCAACATTTGCATGTTTACCTAGAGTATCTTAGAAAATCTCCCCAATTTTTATTTTTTTAAATTTTAAGACATTACCTACAAAAGAGTATTTAAGGATTTTAAGTATTTTAAGGCAGTATCTACAATGTTACTTTGTTAGAGTAAAAACTAAATGTAAAAGCCACCCTGAAGCATTTTTTGGGTATTAACAAGAAATAGCTACCCTGCCTTTTGATATAACATGCTCATTAACATAGAGCTGATGCATACAGTAATTGATACTGTCAATTCCCCATTTTTTAAAGACATGATAAACTCTGCTTGTAAACCTTTTGGGGCCTCCTTGTATCATCTATATTAATATTTCAAAAATATTTTCAACATGAAAATAAATACTTATAAATAACTAAGATAGGTAAGGAACAGCCTCTAAAGTATAAAAGCAGCTGATAGTAACTTGCTTGAAATCTTCAGATTACCAGTCACTTCTATGTTTGACCTACTCCTATGTCAGTGATCTGCAGGGTAGGTCTAAATTGTTTTTAATCTAGAAGGTGGGTGGGGCGGGAAGAAGCCCCATGTGGGCAGAATATGGAAAGAACACTACAGCAACAGTACAGTTTCTCAGTCAGCTCAACACTCACTATATTGCATTTGGTTTCACTACTGCACATAAAATGGAGTAGTTTTGTGAACATGTTTGCCGAAGGTATTTTTATGTGAAATTTCTTTTTATAAACTTCTAGGTTGAAATAAACCTAAAACGATATCCAACTCCTTACCCAGAGGATTTAAAGAATATGGTAAAATCTGTTCAAAATCTGGTGGGTAAGCCAAGCCATGGAGTGCGTGTTGAGAATTCAAACCCAACTGCTAACACGGAGCAAACTGTGAAAGAAAAATATGAACACAAGTGGCCTGTAGCCCCAAAGGAGATTACAGTGGAGGTATTTCAAGGTTATTGGTAATTGCCAGTGTGGTTTGGATTTTTTGGAATTACTAAATTAAATGGTTTTTTTTAACTGATTAGATTCTCTCTGATAAGTGCATTTTTTCCCCTAAGATACAAATGAGTCTCTCTACTTTTTCAAACTATGAGAGTTGCATTTACTGAATTACAGGTAAATGACACCCTCATGGCCTAAAATTATTAATACAACTCCAAAAGTTCCAATACACACAGAAGGAACACTTGCTCACCTAGCGAGACCTGGCCAGTAAGTGCATTATATCATTTTCATGATACTCTTTTGGCTATCCAAACTTTTATTGTATGAGTCATTAGAAAAGACTAAATGAAGTCTTTCTTTCTTTCTTTCTTTCTTTCTTTCTTTCTTTCTTTCTTTCTTTCTTTCTTTTTCTTTTTTTTTACTCTGCAATTATCAGTAAAATTCTGGATCAGATTTAGAGCCAATTTTTTGTCTGTTTGGGGGTTTAGGTTAAAACCATTATAGGAAACATTACTATAAATGACAAAGAGGAAACAACTTTGAAATTTAGCTTTTCTGAAAAAAAAAAAAAGAAATTTAGCTTTTCTGGATCTAGTTATGTGAAGCTTAAATCCTCTATTTTAGAATAAACTAGATATTCATCGTTATCAATTTGTGTGGTCTCTGAAAAGAATTCAACTACATTTATGCCACCTCTGTACTATCTCATCAACTCTTCAGCTAATTTGGTTGTCACCTTCATTAGAAACATAACTGGTATGAGTACATCTAGAAGTTACTATACCCACTTCTCAAAAATATAGATTCATGAAACTCTTTTACAAATCTGCATTTCACAGCATCAATTTGTTGCATTGATTAAACACCAACTGTATATTTAGCACTGTGCTAAGCACTGTGAGAGACAGAAAAGAAATATAAAATGTGCACATAATCCTCAAATAATTTAGAGCCTAGCCAGGTGAAATTACCACAGAAGAGGTGTTTAGAAAACATATTATATAAAATACAGTCACATGACTTGTTTGTGATGGCAAATATAATACTTTAAGAAATTAGAAAGAGAAACAGTCATGGACAATCAATTACAAAGTAATGTGAAACAGTTTAAAGTTGAACTGCATATTGATATTTGGGTGATTCATTTAAAGTGGAGAGAGGAAGTCATTCCAGACAAAGAGAAAAGCTTGAGCAAAAATAAGCATGGTGTGAACATCTGCCAGTGGAGGTGTGAGCCCACCCCAAAAAAGCAGAATACAGCTGGATATCTGGGAGAAAAATTTAATTAAATACTCATTTTTGTTGTTTTTCTTTCCTTTTACTTATAAAATCAATATTATTGTCCTTTTTTCCCTTCTTAAATACTAGAGGTATTCTATAGCAGAGAAATAAACTTTTATCTCTAAGATGTTGCAATAATACCAAAAGGAAGAAAGCCAATGTTTAGCAGGTACACACTAAAGACACGTACACTTCATATTTAAATCTCATGTAATCACAGTTTAATATTTTCATAACTGTGAAGTCATGATAACCCATAAACTGAGTCATTTTGCCACAAAATAAGAAGATTCTAAAATTTCTAAATTCAGGGTTGGGATTAGGTGAGGCAAGGAATAGATGGCTTTGGTCATGAATTTAATAATAACCCTAGTGGAGAAAATAAATCTTAAAATTATCCTACAAGTATTTCAAACTTGAAAAATCCAAAGAAAAAAATCTTCCCCAAATTTGTTTCTGTTCCTATATGCCCAATCTTGATCTCAGCTTGTACCATTATCTTACTAGTTCACTCAAGCTAGAAGCTTGGGAGATATCCTGAATTCGTTTTCCTTCTTTCTTTCCATTCATTGCCCCTTCCAAACAATCACCTAAACTTATACATTTTCATCTAAGTGTATCTCCTTGACCTCCTCAGGCTCTCAGCTCTGTCCTGCATTACTATGAAAACTGTCAACTTCTTGATTTACATTGTCTCCAGCTCCCTCATTACTTTGTTAATGATCTTTTTAAAACAAATTTAACTTGGCTCTCCTTAAAAACACTACAGCGGCTTCTTATTGCCTATCTAATTGAAGTTCAATCTTTTTATAATTATTTCAATGATTCACCCCACCCTTTCTTAAGTCTTCTTCTTCTCCTGGCTGTTTATATTGAATAACATTCCCACTGGTAAGTGCACTACTTTTCTAAAATTTATATTCTAGCTCTTCTTTCCCCAACTTTTAACCATCCTAGACCCTTCTTTCCCCAACTTTTAACCATCCTAGACCAAAGAGAAGCCATTGCTTTATTATCCTCCCTTCTCAAATTACTCACCTAGATGAAGGGGCCACACTCCATATTTTCAACTTTCAGATATAATAAGTACAGATAACCAAGTATCTAACTGATCAGTTTATATCATATTAAGTGTATAATTTGTGTGTGTGTGTTTCACACTTGTTTGACATTTTGAATCATTATTTAGTTCATACTCTCAAGAAGGTGGAAGAGAATATCCCACACTGCATGACACATTCATCCATGAGGGTAAATATGGAAAATGAATGAAAAAAAAGAATAGAGGTAGGCAGAACCAGGAGTAGAAACCAATAAGGAAAAATAAGGTAAATAGATGTCAAATGCAGCAAAGAAAAATAAAAGGGAAAGTTAATCGATATTTATTGATCACTTTATTTGCCAACATTATACCAAGACTTTCAATATATGTTATGCTAGATGGAGAATACAGCTGGGAGAATCATATGAACCGAGGAGGATGGGGAGGTCTCAAGGCTCCCTTCTACTCCCAAATTCCTTTTATGAAGTTTACACTTGCTTTTTACCAGTGTCTTACTCCATTCAGGCTGCTATAATATACCATAGGGGTGCCTGGGTGGCTTAGTCAGTTAAGCATCCGACTTCCACTCAGGTCATGATTTCACGGTTGTGGGTTTGAGCCCCGCATTGGGCTCTATGTTGGCAGCTAGCTCAGAGCCTGGAGCCTGTTTCAGATTCTGTGTCTCCCTCTCTCCTGTTCATGCTGTGTGTGTGTGTGTGTGTCTCTCTCTCAGAAATAAATAAAACATAAAAAAATTATAATACCATAAACTACATTGTTTATAAACAAAAAAAATTATTTATCACAGTTCAGGAGGCTAAGAACTCCAAGATCAAGGCACTAACAGATTCAGTGTCTACTAAGGACCTATTTTCTGGTTCATTAGATGTATGTCTTCTCTCTATTGTCCTTACATGGTGGAAAGAGATCGGGAGCTTTCTGGGGTCACTTTTACAATGGCACCAATTTCATTCATTAGGGTTCTACCATCATGACCTAATCACCTCCCAAAGATCTCACCTCCAAATATCATCATATAGGTTTCAACTTACAAATTTTGAGGGGACACAAACATTTATTCTGTAGCACCCAGGTCTTCACATGGCTAGCGCTTCCATATTTCTCCAGCCTTCAGTTTAAACATTACCTCAACAGTAAGGCCTTCTCTGATCACCATGATCAGTAGAACCTCTGATTTGCTCTGTCACCTCATCCTGTTTATTTGTGTTACATCTAATGAAAACCTTTCTAATTATTTTGATTATTAACTACAGACTGTGAGTTTCATGAAGTCACAGACCAAGTATGTCTTGTCTCCATTGCCTTTCTGGTGTCTAGCACAGGGCCTAGTACAGAGTCAGGCACAGTAAATACCTTTGAGTACATGAATGGTTCTTATCTGATAACATGCCTGTCTCTACATCCAATAGAAGTTAGTTGAGGGCAAGAACAATCTCTGGGTTTTTGTCACTTTCATAAATGAACTAAGTGTTGGCTGTCACACTTATTTATATTTTAGCACCTATGTGTTGAGTAACATGTATTTTAACAACAATTTACTATATTAATACATTAATATAATTTTATGAGTAAAGGCAACTGTCATGATGAAATATTGGGAAAGTGAGGAAAATAGGGAAGGAGGAGGGAAGGAAAGAAGAACAGTATGGTAAATAAAGCTATGATGTAAAATAAGTAAAGGCTAGGGGTTCCAAAACTCTTGGCATATAAATGCCATTAGTGTCTTAATAATTTTGTTACAAGGACTATAGTCCAAAATATGTACCTAATACTTCCATTTACCAAGTATTTAGTTCTGAACAGCTTATTAAATATTTATGCCCTGCCTAGTAGTCATTTGAAAAATAATACACATACATTAAAAGGGAAAATAACAGTTTTATTTCATGCTTAAATAACAAAACTATTTGATGAAATGTGTGCACCTGCTGGACACCACTTATCATCTCAAAGCTTGGAATCACATCAGACACTACAATTTTGTTTCATATTGATTTTTGAATGGCACTTGATTTTTAATCACAGCAACCACCAAAAAGCCAGCTTCACAAAGATTGTCATCAAAGGAAAGTGCAATCTAATGTTGAAACTGAGAGCCACCAGTTCACACAGTATCTGGCTGATGTCAAGTATTGCTTTGTTTCTTCAAATACTTAAAATAACCATGTATCCCTGTGAATTAACAACAGCACCACAGGTACCTTGGAGCACAGTTTGGGAACAAGGGGAAGTGCTTTCAAGTCTAGGAGACATTGTTCAACTCTTGAATCTACCTTGTTACCAATTCTGTGACTTTGACGAGTCATTGAAAACTTTTTAAGCTTTGCTTCCTTTATCTTTAAAAATACAGATACAAATAATGCTTAGAGTTTTTGTGGAGATGAAATCAGATGAAAACACATATTTTTATACAGCTGCAAGCGCAGTTCTTGGCACAGAGGAAAGTTACAGCAAGTGATAATTCCTTTCCCTTTCACAAGAGAATCATGTGGTAACCTTGCCCATCTTCCTTTAATCCTTTTGCGGATCACTATCTTTCATTATAGAAAACTTCTCACTGGATACCGGTTCACCATGTCCACCAGTTCATAAAGGTTCTGGACTTTTTCCTTTGTTAGAAGACCCCACCCAATTTCTTTATATAGAGAAAATACATCCTTTCTCCTGGCAATAAAGAGTAGTCAATTACCGTTGAAAATGTCCTTAAATGCTTTTATTAATACTAGTGCTGGACTTTGGAAAGCTCAAACAGCTTTCTTCCCCCCTCTCATTTCTATCTTCAGCACCCTTTCACTACAGCCATAGGAGTGGAGATTAAGTTTGAATGGCACAAAATCAGTGGGGTTAAAGAATAAAGAGAGTCTACATTCTCCCCCACTTCCGTCTCCTCACCAGAAGCAAATATAGTTCAGTGTGCTTAAAATGGGACCCTCATTATATTTGATTCCCTACCAATAACTTCCAGTCCCTTCACCATAGAAGTAGTCCCAAAAGCTTCACCCACTTTTTCAACATGAACCTGAGTCCTCCAGCCTTTTTATTAAAGAATTGATAGAGACAAAATCGATGATTAATTTCCCTTGTTGGACAGTTAACTTGTCTTTTCTGTGAAGTCCATTTGGTAGGTGAGCTTTTCTTTGGGTACACAGTACATAATATCACATGAAAGACCTTACAGTAAGTAAGACAGATCCCAGTTCAAATCTTGGCTCTACCATTCACTGCCTTTGTGGCTTGGAATTATGACTTTTCTGAGCCTTCATCTCCTTAACTATAAAACAAAGATGATGATAATAAATAACTTAAAAATGATAAATAACAGTAAAAAGCAAGGTTATCTATTAAATAATTAACAGATAGTATAGATGAAGTGTTTAGCATAGTAGCACAGCAGCAGACATGTAATAGATTCTCCATAACTGATGGCATCATCATCTTTATCATAATCATTGTCATCATCATTATTATCATTTTGCTCATAAAGATAATTGGGTCTAACTGGATCAGTGCAAATCCATCATTATTGCTTTGGGAGTGTTAATCCTCCTACTTGGAGGGTCTCACAGAACTCTGGAGAAAGGATGCAGGTTCATGATTAGCTGATACCATACTCCCTTGTCACTAGGGCTCTTTTTGATTCAAATCAGAAATTCTTGAGCAGAGACTCAAGAATGGCATAACTACCATGCCAAGCTCCAGCCACAATGTTAGGATACAGAATTTGAAAATTGACCTATACATGCAACATAACTTCCATACTAAATGTGTAAGACATAAGGGGGAAAAAAGTAATGAAACCCTTAATTGTACTTACATTTCTATGTTTGTACAACTTTTTGGCTTGTTTTGTTGACTAAAACACAATTCCTGTAGTTCCCTATCACATATCATAAGAATATTTCCTTTTTAAAGTATTATTTCAATAAATAAGTTACATTCAGATTCATAGAGTGTTAGTACTGAACCGAAAATAACATTAATACCGTTCATCTATTACCTTCACTTTACTGATGTAGTGAATAAAGTACAGAGAGGTACACTGACTTGCCCAAAATAGCCTGATTAATAAATGATAAAGCCGGAGTAGAATAAAAATATGCCACCTGGTAATTGAAATATTTTTGACAATTCTTAACTTATGTTATGCCTTTCCATGGTACAATTTCTCAAACTCAGGTCTGCTTTAGTTATAAATTTCTACAAAGTTGTGTAAAGGCTTTATTCTGTCACCTTAAAATTTTATCAAAAGTTTCTTATGCTAAGCCTTTGAAATAGTTTTCAAAATCCATGAGAACACAGATTTCCCTCTTCATCTCCAGAATTTCCATCAATCTTACTCTCTTTCCTATCCCTCTTCAAATCTGGAACTTGATTTTAAGTCTCAGATGTGCTCACAGCTGAGCACACAAGGAGGCAGCACACACAATATAAGGGAAGATCATAGGACTGGAACCCCAGAATCCTGCCTCTATGTTGGATCTTGATCTAATTATCTCTGTAAGCATGGACCTCGCTGAGTCTCAAAACCCAGTTGTAGAAAATGAAAGAATTCAACTTGAAATATTTTTAAATAATTAACACTTATCAGATATACCCAGGTTTTTCACAGGCAAATATTCTTATACAAATCTAACCAAAAATAATCCAAAAAATAGAACTTAAGCCTCAATTTAAAGAAATGGATGTTTCTTTGCAATACCCAAATACCTGAGCTTGTCACTATGGGGGGGGGGCATTAAAACATAAAATAAGACTTTCTGCCCATTACCAATTGGTTATAAGATGGAACACATTTTTGTGTTCTAGTATATTCTTTCTGATTTAACAAAATATTTCTAACTGTGACACTAATATTTTAAACTAACAAGTAGTAATGAATGAGAAAACTGAAAAATACTGAGAAGTTTCTTTCAAATTGAAATTAACCTAAGGTTTAAGAAAAAAAGACATAAAGATAACTGTCATGAATAATTTATATCGCTGCTTCCCCATGGGCATAAACAAGACATTTTTATATGTAGAAGAAAGTAAGAATTCTGTATTTTACTTTCCCTAGTGCTCTCTCACTATCTGGTTAACTGGAGTAATAATTTTAAGTATAGAAGCTGAAATTCATAGTTTTTTTTAACATGTTCATTTGTCTTTATAAAGTTTTATTCTTGTACCAATGTTGGTCATTACACTTAATGAATGAATTTATAATGAAGATTCAGCAAGCTAGATTAATCATGAGAAAACTAGAAACATTAGAAGAAGTCATGGTAGAACTAAAGAAACTGAACATAAGATCACTTGGGAAATAGTACTTGTGCATGAGTATGACTAGGGATGAAAAAAAATTTAGTTGGCCAGTGATAGACTTTCCTCTTAGAACTCTTAAGGGTGTTCTCCTCTTACATGTGTATATCCCATTTATATACATATATGTATGCATATATATGTACATGTATATATCATATACTCACATACAGTCTGTCATAAGTCAGTCCTGTGTTATAATGAGATATAGCTTATCTCCCCATCTAGATTATAAATTTCCAGGGGACATGGGTGACATTTTATCTTTCTTTGGAAAGTCCACAGTTCTTTGCACAGTGCCAGGCATATAAACAGGATTCAGAAAAATATCTGATGTATAAATGGACTCATTTAAATTAGAAAAGCAAAATATCTTAGTACTTAGTTCAGAGAAACATATGCACTTCTCCCAGTGCTCCATAGTGACTTAAATTCTAGAGCCCCATCTTTAAATCTGAACCAAATAAAGATATTGCCATCTTGGTTAACCAATGTTTAAATGTTTACTTTCCTTGTCCTATATTATTATATCTCTCAGGATTCTTTTGTTCATCCAGCTAATGAAATGAGGATTGGGGAACTTCACCCTTCATTAGCTGAGACCCCTCTGTACCCACCCAAACTTGTTCTGCTAGGGAAGGACAAAAAAGGTAACATTGTTAACCTGATGTGGAAAATATGCCACAAATGCATGTGCATGATGAATCACCAGTTGTAAACGATTATACACCATAGTCTATAGAAATATTTTACAAACATATATTCCTAACATTGTTATGCTATCTGTTTTTCATACTTGCTTTTCTGTGTTTATTATTTTCAATGTTCATAGCGTTATAATATTTTCCCCTTTACATTTCAGAATCAACTGATGAGTCTGAAGTTGACAAAACTCACTGTCTGAATAACAGTGTTTCCTCAGGCACTTACTCAGACTACTCGCCTTCCCAGGCTTCCTCAGGATCCTCTAACACCCGGGTTAAAGTGGGGTCCTTGCAGACAACAGCTAAAGATGCAGTACATAATTCTTTGTGGGGTAACAGGTGTGTTTAGAATTCCCTTTTTTCCTGTTCCCAAGTGCTTTCTTTCAGCAACTTAAAAATGGAATCTTAATTTTTGAATTGTTTTCAGCACATGAGTGACATAGAAGACAGAAGGGGCAGGTAAGCAAATATAGTCCCCCTGGGACTTCCAGGAGAGGCTGAATCCAGTTTCAGCACCAAACCATTGTTTAAGGAACAGATGGTGGGAGATTATCAGTTTGTGTTGATAGGACAAGAAATTTTATTTTTTTGTAATTTTTTTTCAGAGAGAATGCACATGCAAGTGGGGGAGGAGCAGTGAGAGAGGGGGAGACAGAATCCCAAGCAGACTCCTCACTGTTAGCATAGAGCCTGAAGTGGGCTTACTCAAAAACTGTGAGATCATGACCTGAGCCAAAATCAAGAGTCAGAGGCTTAACTAACTGAGCCACCGAGGCATCCCTTAAAAATCGGAAACCAAAAGACCTGTTTGCCCAATACTTATTTATGACACATGTGGGCATGTCACTGTCCAAAATGGATTAAAGTAAGATGCATATCTATGGACTAAAGTAAGATGCATGGAAAGCACCTATTGCCTAGTGTGAAGTAAATATTGAATAAAATTTTCATTGCTATCATCATCGTTATCATCATCATTTTATCATCAGGTGGAAAAGTTAGGATGTAAGTAAAAATATTTAATCTTTCTGCAAAATAGTTCCTACTATATTACTTCCATTTTACAGATGAAAAATTAAAAGCCAAAGAGCATAATAAAGTGACTCTATGAGATAGTACCCACCCAGTTCTGATTCCCTGGTTTTGTTACTTGTGGCTATACTTTATGCTATAAACAGCAAATATAAATCATCACATCATATAGATAGTCACTGATATTTTACTGATAATATCAGTACTGTTAGCAAGATATTGTTTGGTAATTAATGAATAACTATTTCTACCTTTCGATGTCTGTGGTAAAATCTTAACTCAGTTTATAAGTTCATTATTTGGTTTTTTAGGTTCATTATTTGTGATATAAGCTGAGATTAATGAGGTACTTTGAAAGGTACTTTCTAAATGTACTCTTTTTCAATTAGCAAAAACAAAAGTCTTTCACTGATAAAAACTATATAATTCAATGTTATTACTGTGCAAATGGTTTAAAATAAACCTAGAAGTATTAGCATCTTCTAGAGATACTTTGGTCACTAGTGTAAAACCAATGACCAAAAGTTCTAGTATAATATGATATGATATAATGTAATATAATATAATTTACATTCTAGGAAAAAGTGTTCCCTATACAATGGATTTAATGTCTTTAATACCTGACCCTCAAATAAATTCTATTTGAAGACGATCTGGGTTCATCAGGTATATCAAGTATTTATAAGAAAGATATTCTCAACCAGTAGTTTGGAAATGTAAGAATCAGAAATTCCAGGATGAGGACCAGGAAGGAATCAGGAGATTCTAATTATCAGACAAGGTTCAGGACCATTACTGAAGACCTATCTATTTCTCTTAATCATTTAATCTTCTAACAAATACCTACTATGTGCCAAGCACTATGCAAGGCCTAAGGAGAAAAAAAAAATATCTGCCCTCATGAGTTTACATTCTAGCACAGGACACACAACAAAACACGATGAATAAAATAGGTAAGTAAGTCATATGATATGTTAAAAGTTGATGATTAAAAGGTTGGAATAGAAGTCAGAGAAAAGTAAAGGGGTGGGTATGAAATCATAATGCTATCTTAGTCATAAGTGAGGTGTAGATGAATGACCCATTAAACAAAGGATCATAGCATTCTTGGCTGCTTGTTCCCTTTCTGGCAAAGACCCAGCTCTTCCTCATTTTCACATTTCTTCTTCCCACTGTCTTCACAGGATTGCACCATCTTTCCCACAGCCTCTTGATTCAAAGCCATTACTCAGCCAGCGGGAGGCTGTTCCCCCAGGGAATCTACCACAGCGTCCTGACCGGCTGCCAATGAGTGATGCCTTCACTGACAACTGGACTGATGGTTCACATTACGATAACACAGGGTTTGTTGCAGAGGAGACCACAGGCGAGAATGCCAACAACAATCCTCTCTTAAGTTCGAAATCTAGAAGCACATCTTCTCATGGTCGCAGGCCTTTGATTAGGCAGGATAGGATTGTTGGTGTTCCCCTGGAACTTGAGCAGTCTACACACAGACACACACCAGAAACAGAAGTGCCTCCTTCCAATCCTTGGCAGAATTGGACCAGAACCCCTAGTCCTTTTGAAGACAGGACCGCTTTCCCTTCCAAATTAGAGACAACCCCCACCACCAGTCCATTGCCTGAAAGGAAAGAACATATAAAAGAATCTGTTGAGATACCTAGTCCTTTTTCTCCAGGAGTACCGTGGGAGTATCACGATTCTAATCCCAACAGGAGTCTTAGCAATGTCTTTTCTCAAATCCACTGCCGCCCAGAATCTTCTAAAGGTATTATTTCCATTAGCAAAAGCACAGAGAGGCTTTCCCCACTAATGAAAGATATCAAGTCCAATAAATTCAAAAAGTCACAGAGTATCGATGAGATTGACATTGGGACGTACAAGGTTTATAATATACCATTAGAAAACTATGCTACTGGGAGTGATCACTTAGGAAGCCATGAACGACCAGATAAAATGTTGGGACCAGAGCATGGTATGGCCAGTATGTCTCGAAGCCAGTCAGTCCCAATGCTGGATGATGAGATGCTCACTTATGGAAGCAGTAAAGGGCCACAACAACAGAAGGCTTCCATGACAAAAAAAGTCTATCAGTTTGACCAAAGCTTCAACCCCCAAGGAGCAGTGGAAGTTAAAGCCGAAAAGAGGATACCGCCCCCCTTTCAACACAATTCTGAGTACGTGCAACAGCCCAGCAAAAACCTCGCCAAGGATTTGGTTAGTCCTAGAGCTTACAGAGGATACCCACCAATGGAGCAAATGTTCTCATTTTCTCAGCCATCTGTTAATGAGGATGCTGTGGTGAATGCCCAGTTTGCAAGCCAAGGTGCCAGGGCAGGCTTCTTGAGAAGAGCCGACTCTCTGGCAAGCTCCACAGAAATGGCCATGTTTAGAAGGGTCAGTGAACCTCATGAGCTGCCTCCGAGTGATAGGTACGGCAGACCTCCATATAGGGGAGGTCTGGATCGCCAAAGCAGCGTTTCAGTGACTGAGTCCCAGTTCCTGAAAAGGAATGGCAGGTATGAAGATGAACACCCTTCATATCAAGAAGTGAAAGCTCAGGCGGGAAGTTTTCCAGTTAAAAACCTTACCCAGAGGAGGCCACTGTCTGCAAGAAGCTACAGTACAGAGAGTTACGGTGCCTCCCAAACCAGGCCAGTTTCAGCTAGGCCTACTATGGCAGCTCTTTTGGAAAAAATACCATCTGACTATAACTTGGGTAACTATGGTGACAAGCCATCAGATAACAGTGATATAAAGACGAGGCCTACTCCTGTGAAGGGAGAGGAGAGCTGTGGTAAAATGCCTGCAGACTGGAGACAACAGCTGCTTAGACATATAGAAGCTAGAAGGTTAGACAGGGTATGTCTGGCATTTCTCTGTAAGAATATCCCTCCTGCCTTTAGTTTTACTTTATTGGCATTTCTAAGCACATGTAGTGAAGCATGAACTACATGAATGAATAGATGATCAGCATTTTATTTATATTGTGGGGAAATCGATCATAATAGTTTCTCGTGGATATTGTTTACTGCTCTTTGAGCTTCCATAACCTGTAGGTGAATGATTTATCGAATCTAGCCTAAATATTGTTAGTAAGAAAGAATTTGACTCTATTATATGGGACGGTGCTTCAATTGCTTTCTGGCCGTTACGGCAGAATGCCTCTCCTAGGACACAGAACTGTTCTCTAGTGACCTAAGGAGTACAATTTTTATTGAATCATTAAAAAGTGAGTATTTTGCCCCTTTCTGCACAGACTCACTTATAATAAAGTCAGGCCTAATTTGTTTATAAAATTCACATAAATTTACTGCTATGGGACTCCTAAAGTTATTACTTCTAATGAGCAATAATCTTCCCAGCAAGAAACAGAAAATAAAATAAGCAGAGATTGAATGCCCTCCTACACATTATTTTATAAAAAATCCTGCCATTTCAAATATTGGCTTTCAAAAAGAAAAATGTTTAAATTCAAGTCATACTATAGGCAACAAAAATAGATGATGTCTTTATGAACACTAAAAAGGTAAAAATTAGTGTGTATATTGCAACAACAACAACAACAACAACAAAAAGAAATTAATCCCAATTCAGTTATAAACTGAGTCACAATAAAGCATGGAATGCATAATGATTGAGGAGAGTAAAAATATATACACTGTTTTAAAGCTGAGAATGACTTTTTTGTTGCCTGTTCATATCTATATCTCTCTAAGAGAAATCTCGTATTTCATTTTGTATAACAATGATCAGTTGACCATTATCCGTGAGCGTACTTCATGGCTTTGGTGTAGAGGGCTTAGTGTGCTCTGCATTGACCTTAGAACCCTCAGGGGTCCTTTTTGTAAAAATAGGGCCTTTTTTTCTCATTTCCTAGGGCTGAAAAACTTAGTGTAAATTGGGGCTCTGGGTAATAATATACCATTAGGAAGTTTTGCTCGATAGTTTTATTATTTTATTTGGTGTCCTGTTAAAAACACAGGTCACTGCATTTATTATATATTTCCTTAATATTGAATTTTATGTTTTCAGGTATACTCTTTTAAAATAACTATATTGTTTGTAGGTCGTGTCTACATGACAAAAACACAATTATTTTTAAGGAAAAGTGAACTGAAATATGGGGGTGTGGGTGTTAGTTTTTCAATGTGGAAATTGGTTCTGCCTTGCAAAATATTTCATCAGAATGTCTGTTTCAAATAGGTGTGCTCAGTCCCATTGAAGGGAGCCTCATCAAAGCCTCATGACTGGCTGTCAGTGGGAGACACCTGGTCAGTTGTCACCATGCCTTACCTCAACTTTTACCCTCCATGTAGACAGATAACTTGGAGGGCGAAAATATTTGGGGCCAAATAATACAGTACAGTTTGGGAACTCTGGCCTCGTGTAGACACGACCATACGTAACAGGGTAAGATGAACTAGTCAAGAAAGGTTATAAGAAGCTTTTTGGAGCATATGTGCAATGACTAGTAATTTGAGGCAACAGAGTGAGTGAGAACAAAGCATGAGAAAGAAGACAAAATTCTAAGCATTTGGTACCATCACTTATTTACTGGTTTGTCAGATAAATGGTTCCTCTCCTTTGATCAGAGCTACTCCTCTAGCTGGAGCAGGAATTTGGAGACAGGAAAATAGGACTGGGGGAGGGGGATTTGGATCAGCAGAAGTCTGGAAGCGTCCTGCCAGTCCCCGATCCAGATAACTAAAAGTAAACTCATGCGTGTTTCCTTTTGCTGTGTCCACACCTTCCTTTTTAATTAGTTTCCATGTTTCCCCTGTTTGTTTATAATTCCCTCAGTCTGTCATTCTTCAGACCAACTTCAATGTGTATTCAATAGCTTCTTATTTAATTCCACAAAATTAAGTTACCTCAGAGTATTGCTTCAAGCCACTGGATCCTGAAAGTTCTTCCTCTTGTTTCTTCCACGTAACATTTCTTCCCCCCCTCTCAAGTGAGCTACTGAGCTTTTCAGGCTGTATGTTACTTAAAACTTTCCAACTACTCACAAACATGAATTCAGGGTACTGAAGCACAGACTTATTATATAAAACGAGTTTAGATATAGCTGTGCCACTTCACATACTGTTCAAGGTCAGACTGCACCAGAAATATGATGTGTTTCTTTCCCAGTGAAATTTAGGTGAAGATTTCAATCTGGATATCAAATAGTTATAGTAGAAACTATAAGATCTTTGACTATTCCTCATAAGACAGAACTGCCTAGAGGCCTGCACATTGGATAAGCTTAGCAGCCCAAGATAATGTTGGTTAAAGATCTTGCCCGGTGTTCACCTTGGAGAGGCAGCTCCCGATAAAAGATGCTGTTTTCTCCTATAGTTAACCTCAAGGCTCATGCTCTCACTACAGAGTCCCACTGTGACTGAGAGAATTTAAAACCTGAACCCATATGTCCGAGATGACTACTCTTCTCCAGGAACTAAGAAGGCACTAGACTGGAGTAATTTTAAATGTTAAGGAATCATTCAAGTGCTAGATTGAAATGTTCAGTGTCCTTTTCGACTTTGGCATGGTGACAATGAAAAAAAATGTCTCTGGATGAAATAATCAAGGATCCATAACAAATACGATTGGTAGACAAGCGCAAACCATCAGGAGTATAATAGTCTTTCAACTGAGTTCAGTGAAACTTATGCTAAAAATCATTACTTTGCAAACAATGCCCTCAGAATAGAATAGCTGTTAGCTGTTATTTTCAAGAACATTCTGTTTTTAAAAAGTGTACTGAGTTAATTTGTGTAGTTTCTTTTTTCCAAAATAAGAGAATTACTTAAAAAGACCAAATACTGTTAATTATTACATTTTAATGAAAGTTGGAAAGTGGAGATTGTACTAATGGAAACTATTTGATAACAGTGCATACAACATATTTTACTTTAAATGACGTTCTGTAGAAAAAAACTAATTAGCTATCAAACACTTGGAATAACCTTAGATACACCAACTGAAGGATAACCACAATGCAAATATCACCATAGTACTCTATAGGTATTTAGATATTTTTGATACTTAGTATTAATAGTTCAAATCAAAATTCCTTTAGATTCATTATGAAATTTCTCCATATTATAATGTAATTTTTAAGAAACAACAACAACAAAAAAATCATAGAAACATCGGATCCACATACAAGCTATTTGACTGGTTTTACTAAATTAATCAGTAAATTCAGTTAGCCAATAGTCAGATTGAATTATTTTTTTGACCAGCTCCTTTTCTTAGTTGCTGTAATTATATCTATAGACTGAGAAATAAAGGATACTGATTTTGGCTTTAACATTGTAGTACATTCATTTTAAGGCAGAATTAGAAGCTGGCATTTGTCTTTTGTATGTGTTTATCTCACAATGTGAAAGAGACCATGAGATTTGCAGCTGGCAAAATTTGATTAAGATCTCACTGTTTGAATTTTTTGAATCAATATACTACCACAGATAAACAACATTTGTCCAAAGTTACTACTATCATGATATATAAGAGATAGGTTTTATGCCGTTGAGTTAGCAGCAAATGTAAAACAGAATGTATCCTTGCTTTTTTGTGTTTTCTGTAGTTTTGGATGGTACTCATTATGTGCATAACTAACACTGTTTACTGTATGCTTCTGTCTGATCAAGTGCATGTTTAAAAGGAAGTTACTGTTTGCCCGCTTAAAGTTAAATGTTATAAATTTAAACATGTTCATGTAATAATCAGTTTGTTGAGCATGTGTTCACACCCTGTCACATGATTATTTCCTCTACTCAGAATGCTGCTTACAAACACAACACAGTTAACCTTGGCATGCTGCCCTATGGAGGTATTTCAGCAATGCATGCAGGCAGAAGCATGACTTTAAACTTGCAGACTAAGTCTAAATTTGATCTACAAGAACTACCTCTTCAGAAAGTAAGTATGGACTGCCTTACATGTGTCAGCATACCAAAGCCAATTAATGTTGTTTGTTCACTTAATGTGTTTAGGCTGTACATACAACCCTGCTTATAGACTCTCCTGAGTCCAAAAAGCACAAGGGCAAAGAATGTAGAGCCCAAACTCTTAGCTGCTAAATGAATCTTTGGAGCTAGAATGATTTGCAGGTTCCTGCTTAAAAGCTTTGCTTTTTGGATTGAGCAGGCACATGGCTTTTTGAGTTGCTTTAAGGTTCATTTTCTTATTACTCATTTCTTTTTCTTTTCCTCTTTGTTTCCTTTCTTTCGTCTGTATGTAGATATATAAACATGTATTTTTTAAACCTTTTTGAAGACAGCCTGGTCTTCCCTTGCTGACACATTATGAGAACAGAGCTAGAAATTATTGTTGGATTTCAGTTGATTCCTTTGGAAAAAAACATAGAGACCTAAATTAGAATGGAAATGAAGTAGTTGGCACTTCTAAATGCTTCTTCAGCCCATTATCTTTGTGGGAAATATTACACAGGAATAAAACGTGAGAAGCAAGTTTGTTGCTTGGCTAGCAAATTGTTACTCTTCCTAGACTAATGGAAAAGGAGCACATTAACATGGCCTTAAATGAAATTGTGGACTCATTTGAAATGAAATATACTGGAAGAGAAACATTTCCATTGTCAAAAGAACATTTCTGCTGTTTTATTCAGGCAAAACTGAGGATGCACATTTTACCTGCTGAAATGGATTAATGCATCTGTCTTAGTTACATTTTGATGGAGACTAATGAGTCATTTTCACACATATGTCATTATGACTATATTTCTAATATAGTCATTATCCTAATAAGTTTTATGAAAAAAGCAATGCAAAGTAGGGATAACAGAACGACAGTAGCCTCGAAACACATCTCTCATAATAAAATTAATGAACATAAGGAAAACAAAACCCATCCCAGCAAAACAAGGGTCAAAAGACCTCTAACCCATGTTTTATTGTCAAATTACTCTTAATAATAACTCCTAACTCTAGATAGTTTGCTTCCTACTATGAATAAAGGAATAAAACCAAAGAGACATTTATATTCACAGCTTTTTCCTCACCCACAATCATTTTGGGGAGGAAAAAAAAAAAAGACTATCTAAATTAAGAACTTTAGAATGTTGTTTTTCCTGTCCTCAGTCTCCTATGGCAGAACAAGGGGTGTGCGGGTAACTTTCCTTCCAGGGAAAAGAACAAAGCCCTGGTTTGTGGTGTTTGCTAATGTCTTAGATGTAACCACTCCCTCTATGGCCAAATTCAAGGCACTAACTTAACATCACCGAACACAGAATTGGGACATGAGTTGTTAGCTCTCATGAGCTAGATCAAGTCGGCTCCAGCATTCTAGCAGTGAGACCTTTTCTATGGAACTTCTGCTTTAATGTACACCTGCTCTTCATGTCCCCTCAGATGCCCAGCGTTCTCATCTTCTGCCCTAACAAAACCAACATTCAAAAGACCCTGAAATGTATCTGCACTAAGAAGTAAATGAGACATCACAACTTAAATAGCCTCCCTCCCCAGAGGGCTTGGCACTTGATAGAAATCAAACCCTTAAACTAAAAGGGTAGAATTTCAAAATTCAGTGATCTGATTAGAGAGATGTTGATAGGAAGGGAGCTATTGCTTGAACCCCCTCAAATTATATGGAAAGCCCCTTATTTTGCTTAATGTTTAGCCCTATTTGCTTATCTATCTATAAAATGATATAAATATATTCTGAAAAATAGGACTATCTTGAAACACTATTTTTCAATGTCTAAAGTGTTCCCCAGATATAAATTCAGTACCTCTGTGTTGCTATATTAAGTTTCTGATCTTGTGTGGGGTAGTGTAGAGAATGGATTCATCTCCATCAGAAATATTAGTGTTCTCATATTTGGAGACTTTTCAACCTTCCTCAGTTAGGAACAGAAATGACCTAAAGGAATTCTCCTTGGAAGCTTCCTTAAATTGCAAACCAAGAATGATTCAAGTATTGAAAGATTCCCTCTTAAAGCAAATTTATCATCAATATGTTATTATCCTCACCAGAAAGAGAGAGAGAGAGAGAGAGAAGGCAAGGGAGGGAAAAAATACGGAGAGGGCAACTACTCCATTACCCCTAAAAGATCTTATGACCCCAAATTATCAGTTTAAGGCCTATAAACTTTCAACTTTGGGCATCTGGACACCTTTCCCACCTGCTGCAAGTGCAGGAGCCTTATTAGGTATGGGTACTAAGTGCCTGATATTTCAAGAATACTCCAGACTCTACTTGCTCCCATGGTTTCCAGTCTGTCTCTGCCCCGTTATCTTTGTGCTCGAGCACATCTCTTCTGCAGAGCTTCTTTAATTTGAAAATTTCTTTGGTTTTTCTGCCAAGTTTAGAGACAACCTCTCTTAAAATTTTCCTTTCTTGGCTCCACTGACCAGTGCTAACAGGTCCTATGATTGAGGCTAAATTTCCCTGAACCCTTTTCACCAGGAGAGGAAACAGGCAAAAATTATTTTCCTTTGCATAAAAACCTATTACAACACGTTCGCTACTTAAGATCATAAAAATTAGTATCAGCAATTTGAGTTTTCTTTGCAGTCTCTAAAGGCTTGTGAGCCATGAAAATTGCATTGAAAATATACAGTAAGATCAATTTATAAACAAACATTTTCAGTACATAAAATTGACAAAACTGTTCATGCTCTCGTGGAAACACTGGAGCTCTTTTGATTTATAAAATTCTTAAATGACAATACACCATCCTTAGGTGCCGTGGTAAATGGCTCTGGATGTCGAAGGAATCTAAATTAACATTTTCATGCATTACCAGTTAAGCAATGGAAATCGACTCGCAGCTCCTTTTGTGTAGGTATTGCCCTACCCCTGGGAACATTCAGGGCTGAAATCCACACCCTTTCCCCATACTCTGCTTTCAAGCCTTACCTCTCTCAGTTAAGAAGAAGGAGCTGCCTTGTATTTTCTCTGTCACTCTGAGACTATTTTTTTGCAGGTTGCCCAGAGAGGCCAACTTTCAGTGCTTCTGACCTCCCCTGACCTCCATTTTGATAACCGACAGAAAGGCACTATTTCTGTTAGCCAAGGTCCTGACTCAGTATTATTTGTTTTTTGGCTTGAGTTTCGATTTAAGTTACCAAAAATATCTAAGTTTTTTTTCAAATTTTTAAACACATTTACAATAAATTACTTAAAGGATATGCCTGTTTGTGAATGAAGATCAAAGAATCTGTACTTCTATTTACGAAGTGAACAGTTATGTAAATGAAAAGACTTTCCCAGATTTTCCTGTGCTTTGAATATTTCTAATTTGTTCATATTTATTACATGCCAGGTCAAGTAGTAAACACTTTTTATGGATTACAAGCCCCATACAGGCTTTCTATACTATGAACAGTAAATTACATATTCTATGGTAATTTTATGAAATCTGTTAAGATATTAACAGAATGTTAATAAATACAACAAAATTATTTTATGATTGTTTAATGTTTTATTTTTGAGAGGGAGTACATGAGCAGGGTAGGAGAATAGAAAAGTGGGAGCCCAGGATCCTTAGTGGGCTCTGTGCTGACAGCAGCAAGCCCAATGCTGGGCTCAAACTCACAAACCATGAGATCGTGAGCTGAGCCAAAGTCGGACACTCAGCTGACTGAGTCACCCAAGAGCCCCCAAATTATTTTAATATTTAATATTCTTTAATGTTTTTACTCATTGATACTTATTCTAATTTCCTCAAAAAATTAATAATACTTATAACCAGAACACTTAACCTATATAACTCAGCTATTAAAGTATAAAATTACTAGTATTTTCTATCTATTCGTTTATTTATTCATTCATTCATTCATTTATTCATTTATCATTTATTTACTGCCTCTCCAAAAAGTATTTAAGGCAACTTTCTATGACATTATTAATGGTTCCATGTGCTTCTTCGGATGTGTTCTGTTGTAACTGAGCTTAGCTATTGTCTCAAGATTTTATGTTATTAGAGAGAAATATTATATTGTAAAATGTCAATTCAAATTGCCATTTTTATTATTCAGATTAATGGTAGATTAAGAATTTCAACAGAAGAAAAAGACTAGGATTTATTAAGAATCTATTGTGTACCTGGTACCATTAGGTACCTTAAATATGTTTTTTCACACCACCCTCATATACCCTCAAGGGAAGTGTTTATCTCATTATATAGATCAGGAAACTGAGGCTCACGTGTCACACAAAGGAACTTACGTCAGTTCTACTGTGTTACTACTGTAACCCCTGCACCTGACACAATAGTAGGCAAAATTTGAATCTGACCCTGGCACCCTGGTCCCTGCTGTTTTTACTGTACAATGAAGTCTTCTCAAATATTTACAAAAACTAGCATTTTCAGAGAACATAACTCAAAACAGTTGATAAGGTCCTTTCATATACATTATGATCTCACATCATTGTCACAATAATCTAGAAAAATAGATATCATGGGATAGAGAAAAGAATACACAAGTCAAATATATTAACTAATCCAAAACCTATCATGACCCAAATCATTCCCTGTGTGCTACAGACACAGGGCTCTTTTAGTTAGCAGAACTTAGTAAATGCTCAAAGTTACCTTAAGTAACTTTACCTTACCTTTACCTTAAAGTAAGTGCTTAAAGTTACCTCATGCTCATGTGTTTCCTGAGCACTCAATATCACCAAGAAATATGCTTGGTGGCAGTGAAAGGCCAGACTATGAACTCCAAAATTTCAGAAGTTAATCATTCCTGCTACTGCAGCCCCAGAGACAAGTGGAGTTGGGGAAGAAATCACTGGCCTCTTCTAATTCCCCCTCTGCTGGTGTCTGGCTGGGAGTATAGCATGATATCTTCCACACTGAAGAAATTGATATGTTTTTGTCTTGTTCCTTTCTTTTCAACTTCTAGCACCATGTTATACCATAGCATGTACTGCTTATTGGCTTATTGAAACAGACCTTAATATAAATTATAATTTGGGGGGAAGGGAAGTTGAAATGATGGAAATATATGTATTAAATAATCTTTTCATAGAATTTTGCCTGGAAGAAAATGGCCTTGCTATCTGTTTTATTACTTGATACTCATCCTCCTATCTTTTGAATTAGAGAGATTTGGATAGAAATGTTTGCACCTAATTACTTTTAAATTTCTAATGTCCTTTCTTGCTGGTTCTATGCACATGATTCAGGATCAAATAGTACCAATATTTGATATGCATTTATTCATCCTACTCTCAAGGTTTACTTACTTAATTCCGTTTTTTTCTGCTGAAAGCCAAGCAAGATTTATGCAACACCTTCTGCCTATAGTTTCTATTGATTCTGCTGGATTTATTATTGGTTATATGTCACTCAAGGAAGATTCACTTATCTTTCTAATTATAAAGAAAATCTCCAGCCTGTAAATCCACATGAATCCTCATGGACAATGGCTAACATTACCAATATAATAACATTAGTACTCATACAGAGGCTTCCTTACCATGATAATGAAATGCTAGTTTAAAAATCATCTGAACATTACATTAGCACCTTCAGATTGAACCCCTTGAAATCTAAATCATTTATATTGTAACTTGGTATATATTTGTCTTTGTGATACCTATTTTTTAAGTATATGCAGAAAATGAGTTATATACCAATTTTCACTAGAAATACTTTGGGAAAATTGTTTTTAAAACATTTTTGAATCTATGGTAATGCCTTTTGTGGACTATAGGCCAATTACTAAGCAAAATCGGTCCTTGATATCTTAAGGCATGCATCCTAAGACCTTTGCAAAGTGCCAAATGCTAATACCACTGTTATGTAATTTCTCCAGCTAAATGCAGTAAGTATAATTTGCCAAGCATTCAGTGCACCCATTAATTTGCTAACCCAAGCAAAACTGCTGGGTCAGCTAAGCTCATTTATTCATATATGTGAATGCTGCATACATACACAAGCTCACACACAGGCACACAAACACATACATGCACACACTCATATACATGCACATACATATCACACATTATCATGCATATTTATGTCTCAGCCAAATTAGAAATTACTTCTTCCAATACACACTTGTGCTAAATGTTAAATCTATAAATGTCCATGGACATTTTGGAAACCAAGTCCCTTCAGCAAAACTCCTAGCATTAGGGTATTTCTTAACAAATATAATTTCTGATTTTTCACTAAATCATAATGACCATGTTGTCTATTATTTTGAAATATTAAAGATCTACAGAACTTAGAAGCTGAGAAAATGGTGCAATATGGTGATTTTCAATGTCTTCTATATCTAATTGGTTTCATGTGCTGAGGAAAAGAAGACTCATTCTTACTTTTTTAAAGTATCAAAGAATCTGTACTTAGAAGTAATTGAATGAGTAACTGAATCTCAATTTCGTTATTTTCTCTGAAATAACAGATTCCAAGGGATAGCCTCATTGCTTTTTTAATGTTTTTCAGTTTCTCCCTTTAACCTTTTATAGAATTTTCACAACTCAGCAACTGCATTTATATACAATTCAGTAGCAGTTTGTGAAGAGTACAATTTTTTTGGTAAATAGCTATACATCTTTGGAACAGAATGTGAACCCACTGTATAATTCTTTTTTATGCTACCCACCCACCCATCCCCACCAAAATTAATAAGCTGTTTTCCCGTTCTTTCTACTTCTCCAAACCTAAGCTCCCCCTCCCCCCCAGGATGTCTCACTTAAGAAAAACTAAAAAGGCCAGAGCACTCTTGAAATGAATAAAGGAAATTGCTTTCAGGAAATTTCTTTAATTTCCGTGTCTAGTGAAAGTATTTTTTTTCATGTGTCTGCATGTGTATGTTTTCTTTGACTCCTGTAATGCAGAATCAATGTGGTTGTTAATTCTAATTTTAAAAAGAGAGTGAGATTCCTAAATGAGTGAAGAACCTACATCATCATGATATTAGGATGTCAACCAAAAAAAATTTCTGCAATTCTCAGTTGCTGTCTGTGACAAAGAGTCCTGTCTGGGCAGCTGAAGCAGAACTAGTGGAGGAAATAGAGGAGGAGATGGAGATAATAAAGAGAGAAAAAAAAAGGAGGGGGGGAGGGATACCTGTATAACATATTCTGGCCACTTCTCAAAAATACAAAATTATATTTTGCATACACCTAACCAGATGAGCTGAAATTATCTCCTTTCACTGGCAAAGAAATCAAGGCAGAAAGACATGGATATTAATTTAAACCAAAAACAAACAAACAAACAAACAAAAACACCAGCCAATAGTGCTTACCCTGAATACTTATATTTTAACTGTTTAATTTTAATAACTTGATTTGTCATATTTTAATATCTAGAAAAATTGTGTGTGGACATATGCAAACATGTTAATCTGAAAAAAGAAAAGACTAGAAAATTAATGCTCAGAAAAAGATGGGCATATATTAGCAATCTTTTTTTTCTTCAAGTAATATGTACTTTAAATGTGTTACCTACATGTGAATTTTCAAATAATCACAAGTGAATGCATTCCTAACTAACCCAGAAGCATCAGCTTAGTTTTTCTCTTCCTTCACAGTTTCTGATAGACTCCTGAAAAAGGAATTCACATGGCCAAAGTTCAATAAGAAAATTGAGTTAACTCCTTACTTTTCATTATATCCATTGTACCTTAGGAAAACTTCATCTGGTATCATAATCCTATTTTAAAATAGTTCCAAGCAATCCTTTTTAAAATATTCATGTAATCAGCATGCAGATTGGATGGTTATATAATTGTTTTTTTTTAAAAACCAACGAGGACCACTCTGTATAACCAGATGAGCGCTGCCAAGCTGCCCATCTGTGCAACATTGTAAAGAGAATGGCCCAGTTCTCCCACCCTGGGGTTGGACACTTCCTCACACAGAATAGAGCTGCACATGCACCCTCTAACTAGGCCTGATTTATCTGTAGGGACCCTTCAAAACATATACAGAAAACAGTATAGGAAACAACATAATTTCTCATCCACAGAAGAATTCCTCAGGAAATCAAGGAGTAGCTGCATATCTTATAGGTTAGAGGAGGAGAAAAGTCTTTGAAAAAAGTTAATCTAATTCCACAGGAAAAATATACCAGCAGTATATCACTCTACAGGAGTCCATCTTTCTGATGGTTGTAATTACTTGCTCAGGTCAGACTATGGAGCCCTCTCCCATCTCTAATACTAATACTAATAAATACAAGGGTATTATTATTTATTAAAAAAAATAAGCAGTAAATCAGCTAAAATATATGAGACATTTAAACTTTAAGCACAAAGATCTATATAAATAAATTTAGAAACACAGCAGTCAGGTTTATTTTATGCTGTGATTCTAATGGCACAACATTTTTGATGTTGCTTTCATATTTCCCTGAAAGCTATATATAGATAATGCCATAGCCCAATAAATCTTACACTATGCTAGTGTTAACACTCTTTTGGATCAGTGCAAGCCATGTTCTACCAGAGTCAGTACAGCCTTATAAAGCTTGTTTTAGGTTTGGAATATTGGAAGGTATATACTATGTATTATATGGTTTCAGTTTATATTCTAAATGGTAAGATCATATTAAAAAATGAATTAAGCAAGTTTTAAATGTTGTGGTTTTTAACAATTGGTTAATGTTATTCTGATTATTTTTTATTCAGGTACTGTAAATAATCTAAACTTTTCTTTAAATTTCAGTAAATAACTCTATGGTGGTTATTTTCACTGAATTTCTCATCGCTTCCAAAAAGCTGTCAATTCAGAATTCTTATTAAGTAAATAGTGAATAATAATACTTCCATTTCAGGATATTTGTTTTTCTGCAATTAAGCAAAATTAATCTTATCATAGTCATTAGGGACTCTTTTCAGAAAACTATGATAAACTTCTATTATATCACTAAAGAATGCCATACCATTTTTGCAATAGACCCCGTCCCAGCAAAGCAACATTTTAGACAATGGACAAGAAGATGTATCTCCTAGTGGCCAATGGAATCCTTATCCTCTTGGGAGGCGGGATGTACCTCCGGACACCATTACTAAAAAGGTAACCAATTTCAAATTAATGACACAAACCATGAACCTGTGCATCCATTGTAATATGTAATCTATATTTTATGTCATAACATCATTTCTAGTTTTGTAATAAATGTAGACTAAATATCATCCCACTATAGAGAGTTTAGTCAACATAAGTGCCTTGAAAAGAATGAAAAATGAAAACTACCAAATATTCTGAGTTGGTAACAAATTTTTATAAACAATATCCTGCCACCTGTCTGCAGGTACTATCACCACTTACTGTTGTCTGATACCTACCTTTGAAGTGCAAGTATGGGATTGTGTGTAATTTGTACTTCTGACCCTCTTGAGTTTAGTAGCATGGTGTAGCCAATTTTGTGTAAAAAGAAATTCAACTAAAAAAGGTTGATTTACCTCTTTAAAGTCATACCAGTTCATTCATCTAATCTTTCACTCAATAAATACTTACTGAGCGACTGTGCTCAGGTATGTGTTGAGCATTTTCTAGATTCTGGGGAACAAAAATGAGTAAGATATAGTGTCCTATCTTGAAGATCTTTTAGTCTACTGAGGTAGCCCAAGTAGTAAGTAATTATAATGCTACGTGTTAAATCACTGTAAAGGGAATAAGAAGAAAGCCACAACCTGGGAAAAGATCATTACAACATATATGAGGGACAAGGGATTGCTATTCCAGAATATGTTTTTTAAAATTCATATAGTCAATAAGAAAAGATACGCAACACAATACAAAAGAATGATAAGAATGATAAAATACAAGGGGAATTAGGAGAGTAGATAAACATTTTAAAAAGCAGAATATTTTTATCATTCAGAAATGCAAAAAAAAAAGATGCTATTTTATACTTGCTAATCCACAAAAATTAAGTCTGAAAAATGTAAATTGTTTGCAAGTATAAGAGCAATGGAAACCTTTTCATAGTTCCTGTAGGAATAAAAACAACCACTTTGGAATCAAATTATCTTCTAAACCTGAACATGCATATACCTTTTATTCCTACAATTGCCCTCCTAAGATATTATTCAAGACTCTTTTAATGTTTACTATAGTAGAAAACTGGAAAAACCTACCACCAGAAAAGTATGTAAATAAATTCTGTAATTCACACAAAAGGATATTTTAAAGCAATGAAAATTATTTAATCAGTAATTATGATAATGTGTATAAACTTTAGAAACATAGTTTGAGTAAAAAACAAGTTTCAGAAGATGGAACACATCAAAACTATCTATTTATAAATCTCAAAAGTAAGCAAAACTAAAATATATTGTTTAGGCGTAAGTACGTGAGTCCAGAAACTATTTTTAAAGGGGAATGGTTAACAAAATTTATAATTACAGTTACCTCTGAAGGGGAAACTGGGGGTATGATCAGGGAGGAAATTTGTATTATTCTTGCTACTCTTTTATTTCTTAAGTTGAATTTTATAATTATGCTTCATAGCTTGCATATATACTACATAATCACATACTGTCTTTGTAACTTAGGTGATGATTCTCCTCTTGATGACTACTTCAGTGCTTTTTAATATATCTATATTAAATAGCAATTATTTTACCTCAAATAGCTATTAATGCCCTGATTGCAGGTGTTACACATGTTATTAATCTGCCTGTTGGGCAATATTTAGCACAGCAGATAAACATAATGTAGTGTGATTAATGCTTTGAATTTGGGATACAGGGTTATGACAGTATCTGGAAAAGGCTCCTGTTTAGTAAAGAAACTAAAGGAAGTTGAGAGGAGTGGCATAAAATAAGGTTGGAAGGTAAACAGAAGGTTGATCATGCTGCACTTTATTCTGAAGGAAATGAGAAGGGGAGCATTGAAGTGTTTTAAACCTGAGAAGACAAAGACTAAATTTTCATTTAAAGAACATTCTGATAGCTTTTCAGAGAATGAATTATAGAAGAGAAAGGCTGAAGGCAACTGAACCAGTTAAAAAGCTTCTATTGTAATACAGGGGAGAATAGGGGAAGCAACAGGTGGTGGAGAGAAATGCGTAGATTCAATATCTTCTTAAAAAGTGAGCCAACAAGACGTTGGGATTGACTGGACATAGGATATACAAGATAGATATAAGTGCCATGGTTGATACATAGGTTTCTCATTTGGACAAGGGACTGATGTGCCATTCACTGCAACCGGAAGCACAAGAAGAGTGATGTTTGAAAGTGGAGGAGGCAAGCATAGTTTAAGTTTTAATATGTTGATTTGAGTTATCTTTAGAGTCTCTAAGTGGTAATGTTTGGTGGATATTTGGAGATATTTATCTGAAGTTCAGGAGAGAAATCTTAGCTGAAGATACAAACTTAGCGATAATCAAAATATATGTCATAATTCAGCAGTGAGTGAGACAGAGGGGTGTCACAGAGCTCCATGGAACACCAACATTTAGGAATGGTCTTAGGAAGAAGAAAAGAAATAACCAACGATTTTATCAATAGGGTTCTTTCTACCACAAATTATAGAAAATTCAAGGGAAACAGCCTTGAATGTTAAGTAAATATCTAGCTGATTATCAAGATCTAAAGTAACCCTCAGATTTAGTCTTCAGTTGTATAATTTTAAGTACTTAGGTTATTTTTTTCCTCTCCATTGTTCTATCTGTACTGCCAGCTTTATCCTAAAATTGGTTCCTCTCATTATTAGAAGTTGAGTACCAGTGACAATTAGAGATACAAGCTTCCTCTTCCAAATCCATCAAGGGAAAGAACCAAGTTTCCAAAAGCAGTCTGTTACAAGCAAAACTTTTCAATCTTAAATTCCTACCTCTTCTAGTGAAACTTTTCAAAACTTCAAGCAAAACTTTTCAACCCTAACTACCAACCTCTTCTTACATCTCATTGAGCCAAAATAGCAAAGGACTTCCCATCCCTAGCAAGATGAATGGAATTGTATGATTAGCTTTAACTAATCAGTTGGAGAAGAATGGATAGGGCTCTCAACTCCAGTGACCAATACAAAACTAGAAGGAAAATAAATGTTTTAAGGAGGGAGTGATCAACAGTGTCATGTGGTGCCAAAAAAAAAAAAAAAAATCAAGCAAGATAAGTATGACTAAAGGATCTCTGGATTTAGAAACAGAGAGATCATTGGTGGTCATGGCAAAAGCAGTTTGATACCTATTTGATGGAGTGGAATCCATTGGAACCTACATTAAGGGGTAGATAAACATAGAAACCTAGAATACAAGAAAGGAGCTTCTTTGAAAGCAATGAGAGAATTATGGTAGAATCTAAAAAGGGATATAAGGAAGACAGAAGGAATTTTGTAAAGTGGCAGACACCTGATCATATTTGAAGGCTGATGAGAAGTTACTGGCGAAGAGAAAGTTGAAAATCTCAGAGAAGAAAGGAAGGGGATCTACTTCTTTATGAGGAAAGATAAGAGGATGAATGTGATAGGAAGTTGAAGGAATACCTATCAGAGCCAAGGGGAGGTTGTCTACACAATGGGGTACCATATCCACTTACATAGTTGCAAAAGCTACTATAATTCTCCCATGAAATAAAAAGCTTTATTCACTTATTACACTAAATGGAATTAAGAAATGTTTACATTATTCATTCAAATATGCATTTTACCTGAAATCTATTTTCAGACTCCATAATCATATCATAAGTAAAAATCATTATGATCATTTGTTTGCTTCTCTACTTGCTCTAAGAACCCCATGCAATCCTGTATTGATTAAACATTTGTAAGGTAGTTGGTCTTATAAAGACTAAAATAATTACTTCATCTGTCTGAAAACTTCATAATCTTTGATACTTCTTTTCAAATGTGAAATAATGTACTATGTCTTTCATGTGTAAACTCATTTGTATCTGTTTCCTACTATCGTGATATGCATTTCCAGACTACTTCAAGTTATAACACTTTTGCCTAAAATCTGAGATTTTAGAACCTATACATGTATCTATTATCTCACAGAGTAGAGAGATTAAAGAATGCTCTAAATATCCAAAATTAGTTTATTATATACTAAATGAATATATTAATATTCAGTGAGAATCAATTTAAGAAAATGAAAATGGTAATGGGATTATTAACTTGGCCTGCAAGATTTACTGAAATAAATATGAAAATTGTACTATTATTTATTGGGTTTATATTTCATTCTACAGTGAATGTTTTCAAAAATCAATATTACTTTTGCAGTTGAAGTGAGTAGTCAGGATAGATGGCGTGAGAATGGAAAATTAAAAATTGAACTACAAATGGAATGGGGAATCAAAAGAGAATAAATGATGTTGTGGCCAGCTCCATTTCAGTGGAATGGAATTCCACTGAATTTCTTGAAATCTCTGTATTAAAGTTTTTTAAAAATCCTATTGTTATGCCTAGAGATACTCCTATGTTATTACTGTGATACTTGAACTGTGTGGTATTAGTGCTGTGATACTACTGTGATAAGAAACCATTGTGGTGCTTCCGAGATTCAGGAGGAGAGTTTTCGAAAGGCTTTGACTGAACTGTGGCTCTCTGTTCTGGCTATCATAGCTCTTTGTGTGAACTAATATTGGTAGTACTCATGGATATGCCTGTGAGTACTCCAAACACTATAGGAGGACAAATTTGGGTACCCTCCAACACATCAAATATTTTAAACACATAAAATAGACAAAAGGTGCTCATCAATCAGAAAGGATTTTGTTCTTTTTCTACTATTTTTGTCCTGAGTACCTGAGAGTGGCTAATTCATGGCAAAATGTGAGGGTGTTAAATTCTGACTTGTTTTTTTGTTTTCTTTTTTTCCAAGTGGCAAGAGGTGGGATGTAACTGACTTGTTTTTTGTTGTTGTTTGCTTGTTTGTTTTTTAATGGTGTGATAGTAGATGGTAGTTTTTAATTCTCTCTTGCTATGTCAGTGTCCCAAATCTCAAATTCTAAATGTCCATCAATTCAAAAGTTCTGGGGGTCATTGCTAGAAGAATATGTCACAGCTATGTAAATCTCCCCCTGGATTCTAAGCATTACTACACGAGCACTTTAAGAATT